AACAACTTGATGTTATACAAATAATAGCTTTTTCTGAGGCTGCGGTCGGCAGTATCCATGTACAGCTATTTCTCTTGGCCAGACGTAACACAGATAAGGAAAGTAGAACAACAAGATGTGTAGGGTCGCAGCTTAGGCCAGCTGAGATAGATTAGTCCCTACCTCTGTTTCTGTCACTACCCATTTTTCTCAGATTCTTCTTCGTACAACGCTACGGTGTCTTGGGGTGAGTTAAACGTTGCTTTCGGCGTAGTACGGTTATTTCAGTTTCAGTTTTAGTAAGCGTTTTGCGGCGCTTGCAACACATTATGTCGTATAAGTGTCGAAGTGTAACAGTTAATTAGAGGAAACGGATGAAGGGTACAGATGGAAAAAAAAAGATGTCAGTTGTGACGTGGATTGGAAAGTTTTTACGCTCCTGTTAAGGTCCATTTTAGTGTCCAAGACTAAAACCCGGCGAGTGGCCCAATGTCAGGCTTGAAAAAAAAAATATATATATAAAAAGTTGTACAGTGGGGAAAACGTGAGCTCTTAATCATTTTACTTTAGTTTTCTCAAAAGTCCAAAAAGTGGCCTCCCTTGGTTGTTTTTTTTTCACTTGTGCCCTTCAGATGCCTGTGGTGTAATTGTGATCAGCAGGCCCGCCTTTTCTGTCCGGACGTGAATTCAATAACATCAGCGATCAAACATCCTTTTTTATTTTAATGGAAATATTTTACGCCCCCTTCGACACTATTTAGATCATTTAGGAGGCGGACTTCGGACCCTACCTTTCACGGTCAACAACAGCCGGTGACTTTGGTGACACTTTGGGATTATTGTTCCCTCGTTCTCTTTATTTCTTTCATTTGGAACGTGGGAAGAGGTCTTCAGTGGCTGGTTGGCGGGTACTCTGATGCGGCTTGCTCCTTCTTTGCTATCAAACAACTATTATCCTTATCTCCCCTCCTTTTTGTGTTTCTTACTCTTTTATAACACCTCTAATCTTCGGTACTTATATGACTTTATTGGGTTGCAAGTGCCGTAAAACACTTACTATTTTTTTTTTAAACAGAGGTCTTCTACCTTTCTTTGATTATTATGGTTGACAACTGCTTTCCATGTCAGTCCCGTCATACGCTAACATTCTTTTCCATCAATAAGTCATAAGCCAACGTTTTAACAGTGCAACAAAATATCCAACCGTGTCCTGAAGACTGAGGGTGGCTGGCGGACGCTGTATTGTGGTTTGCTGCTTCTTTCCTGTCAAACATCATTCTATTGTCCTTATCTCTCATCCTTTTTTATTTGCTGCGTATATGGTTATTCTCTTGTGACAGTTATAATCTCTGGCTTTCATAATATGACTTTATTTGTTTTGTAAGTGTCGTAGAATTCTCACTAAAACTAAGAATACAGTCTACAGGTGGTTGGAGGGCGTCGCTGGTAGTTCCTCCACCTTCCCTCTGTTGTTTCTGTCTGTCTTACTCGTTCGTAGCACTAAATGGCCATTGGCCGTTACTGTGCCAGTGCTTCACTTTGCTCCAATTTTGGACCGGATGGTTCAGCTTCGAAACCTTAACGAGGTGTTTTGAAACCCGGGCTGTTTAGGGGCGTTTTAAAGGCTCTTCACCCATTTGGCTTGGTCCTATTGGAGATGGCAGTTACATAATTTGAAGGTACGGCCTCTGAAATAATCTTGCGGCGTTGGGGAAGGAGTGTTGAACCTAAACAACAACTACTACAACAACAGTAACAACAACAACAACAACAATAAATGAAGTAGAGTCCACATTGATTCGATAGGCGGCACTGTGCCAGTGTGGCGGTGGATGGTTGGCGGGTGCTCTGGTGTGGTTTACTCCTTCTTTCCTATCAAACAGCAATCGTCCTATAAATCTCTCCTCCTTTGTGTGTGTGTGTGTGTGTGTGTGTGTGTTTCTCCGTTGTGACACCTGTAATCTTCGGCACTTAGACCTAACCGTGATGCAAGTGCCGTAAAACTCTCACTAAAACAAACAAACCAGTCTGGTGACCGACTTGTTTTGGAGAGGAACTTACGAAAAGTTTGTGTTGCGGGCATGGGTCAGGGGTTAACAGCAATATCTTATCTTGTCGGCGTAATTTTGCCCCTGCCCGTCGCTCCCTCTCTCTCTCTCCTATCTGTTTGTCGCAGTGGTCCTGAGTTTTCCTCACGGGTTGTCCTTGTTGTACGCTGGGCCAAACAACACGCTGTGTGGGGCGCGAGCGCCATTGTTTTGAAAGATTGTGATGTTTTTGCAGAGCTATGTTTGTGTGTTGTGTTCATCCACACACTGCAACTTGAAGATTTTCTGTCTTGGGATATTGTTTCGACGTTTGGTTCACTGTGCGTCTTTAATGTGTTTTCGACTTCTCGGTGATTTTTGGCAGACTTTAAACGCGTGCGAGTGAAGTTTTGGACCGACATCTTTGCAGAAATATTGTAATGCATTAATTTCTGTGATCATCAAAAGTGAAATCGATTGAAGTGTGTGACAAGAACTCCCTGCACTGAGTTGAAGAGTTTTTAAGTTGGTTATAAAAAGACATTCCGCTTTTTCGATTGGACAGAGAAGGAGCATCGTGGCTTATTTAATTAAATTAGTTGTTCAATTCGACATGCGGATTTTTACTGGTTTCCAGCTGTTTCATTCCAGTGATTTATGCCAATTCGTCTCTGCTCAATTGGCGTTTATGAGAGTCTTGTAAAGTGTTTAAAGGTCTCCAGGAAAATCATGCCGCCAATTAACTCACATTATATCGGCGTACTCCTGTGATGATTTTGTAAAAATATTCTGAAGTGAAAATAATGGGCAGCGTCACAGAGTGTCGTAGATCTAATATTCCACACATTTTAGTTGTGGCCTAGTGTGTTGTGTCTAGTAGTACAAGGATCTTTCTGCATGCTGTGCTGTGAACCACAGCCATGTGCTTCCCGAGCAGCCAGTGCTGCCGGTTGTGTCCGTACTTCAGAGTGACATATTCGGTCACCACTGGTCGCTCAAGGCCACACAAACCGAGTGACGTCAGTGATGGTGAGTGTCAGAGGGGGGGGGGGGGGGAGGTGTGTGGGCGTAGGAAGGGGAGGGGGGGGTTCCTGACGTAGAATAATATTGTTGTGATTATTGATAAGCTCCCAGTAACTATTATTATTGTAAATCTCGAGAAGGCCGAAAGAGATAAGTTTGAATTAGCACAGTTAATACTTTATGACCTATAATTATGTGTTAAATGAATATACAATGATATATGATTTCACGGGCGCCCATATTCACACCGAAGAGAGAGAGCGAGAGAGAGAGCGAGAGAGAGAGACAGAGAGAGAGGGGGGGGGTAATTTGGTGATGGCATGGGTGCTTTAAATATTCTTATGCTTGCAGATCTAAGGGTTGTTTGTAGTGACTGTGCTGGTGCTTCTGTCTCCCTCCACGGTTAAGACCGATATTACTAGATCTAGATCTAGATTCTAGTCCTCGAAACGATCCAAATTCTTTGATCTGATTGTTTGATAATCTGGGAAAGGGGGGAGGGGGATGAGAGGTTCCCTCATTTTCTAATCTTGACCGTGACCGTTAGGCTAACTGAACACACAAGTTCTGTAGTGTCGTACTGAGCAACACACACGCAAACTCACACACACACATGCACACACACATGCACACACACATGCACATACACACATGCACGTACGCACGTACGTACGCACGCACGCACGCACGCACGCACGCACACACACTCACACACATACACACACACATACACACACACACACATACACACACACACACACACACACACACACACACACACTCGCGCGCGCGAATAATATATGCGTGTGTGCGTGTGTGTCTGATTGGTAGACTACAAATTATGTGACGATGCAGTGTTGAAGTGGCCATCGTCTTTGTCATTGGTCTCTTCCTACCTTCTGTATCCCTAATTTGGGCGATCTTCTAGACCTGCGCGTTTTATCCACATTTGCCAGATCTGAATAACAGAGTCAATGTAGGGTCAGGGTTACATTTTGCCCTAACAATAACTAACTTATTCCCTATTACTATTACTAGATCTATTACTCGAATTCAGCGAATGTAAATAAAACGTGTAGATCTTTGATGTTGTCCAAAATTTTAATAAATCTATTCCCGGCGAAACGTGATCGTTGTCGACTTGACTTGTTTGTAAATTCAACTAGGTCTTTTCGACTAAATGTATTGGCCGGGGCCCCAACTTTTTGTATTTTCCAATAGCTTGGAAGCGGGATATTAGGTCTTCTGGTGGTATGCGGGTGCTTTGGTATGGTTTCCTATCAAATATCTCCCCTCCTTCTTTGTGTGTGTGTGTGTGTGTGTGTGTGTGTGTGTGTGTGTGTGTGTGTGTGTGCGTGTGTGTGTGTGTGTGTGTGTGTGTGTTTGAGTGTGTGTTACTCTATTAAATTGTAACACCTCTAATCTTTGGCATTGTGGGTGGTTACCGGGTGCTCTGGTGTGGTTTGCTCCATCTTTCCCACCAAACATCTATCATCCTGATCTCTCCTCCTTTTTTTGTGTTTGTTTTTCTCTTGTAACACCTCTTATCTTCGGCTGTTATATGACCTCATAGTGTTGCAAGTGCCGTAAAACTCTTACTACTGAACTAAGTCTTAAGTCTTTACTTCTTTTAAACTACTTCACCTCAACACGCTCTTTAACCGATGTTTTTGAAGGCTACTAAATCGATTCCGTTTTTTCGTCAGCTGTTGACCTACACCAATCGTGAGTGAAGTAATCAGCTTTTTCTTCCAGGTTATAAAATACGGTCGGAATTTTATAAAACACCACTCATTGTCGAGTGGCGGTCTCAGATAGCTGACCGTCTTACACAATGTCATTTTAAGGTTTAAAATAAATTATAATAATGATAAATTAATAAAGCATCTAAGGCCTTATTGTCCACCGACACCTGAATGACATCCGTATTCAATAAACTGATGTTTTTTCCCGTTTTGTTTCAATCTCCAGGCCATGAGACACCGTTCTCCATAAAACTCAGCCAGGTCCGAGAGCTGACAAGATCAAGGTCACGGGACGACCTCGACAAAATGACATCTGGTGATCTTGACACAGTGGTAGAGGACACAAACTCCTCGAGTGGACATCGATGTGAGTTCTTCCTGAAGCAGAAGAAGACCCCGAAGAAGAATCATCTTGGTAAGTCAAAAAGATAGATCGATAATTCTGGTGGATTTGTCCGGAAAAGCGGAATAAAGTAACGAAAAGCACGAAACGGATTTGATTTACCCCGTTTAGCACAGCACATTGTTCATAGAATAATGCTTGGATTTGAGATACTTAGCAGCTGTATTGTAAAGGTTAGGTTGTTTATTTTGTCAAATATCTTTGATCTACATTCTGTCCTCTGGGATGTTGTTTCCTATTCAGCCCGCATAGATCTTGACAGGCAAGGTTGAAGCATCCTGCTTCCTTATTGGTCTGTTGATTGTTTCAACGAAGGTGCCTAATTAACAATAAACAAGTGGGTAGTCCTGTCTTTCTTTTTTATTTGAACGAAATGATCGTTATTCCACCAGTGTGTGGCTTTTGACTCTGAAACTACCCTTATCATGCCTTATGTTACTGAAAAGCAGTTTAAAAAATGACAGCAGAAGCAACAACAATAACATCTGTTGCTGCTGCTACACTGCACGGATTATTTCTATGCACATATTATTATATTGTCATGGGTGGTTGGCGGTTGCCCTGCGGTTTGCCCCTTCTTTCCTATCAAACATCTATCGTCTTTATCTCCCTCCTTCTTTTTGTGTTTTTTTTTTTACTCCCTTGTAACACCTCTAATCTTTGGCACTTATATGACCTTATTGTGTTGCAAGTGCCGTAAAACTCTTACGAAAAAAAACCCCGCATATATTGTCTCACTTCGAAGCAACACCAACAGCTGAACTAACAATGACATAAAAGTAACAATAACAAGAGCAGTAGCGAGAACAACATCAGCAACATAATATGCTGCTACTACGTGTATTATTTCTCGTAACACGTTGTCTCCTTTCCTCCCTTCTTCCCTCCTCCAAACTACAAAGACAACTCATCGTACCAAAAGTCCATGAAGAGGTCAAAGAAGTCCCCCAATATCATCAACACGCTCCTGCGCAAGATCCGACCCCCACAGCCGCTGGTCTTTGGGCTGCCCTTGGCTGACATCTGTGATGACGACTTCCAACCCCCGGAGTCTATTCTTGTGAGTAATTTGAAATACTTTTTTGTAAACTCAATGCCTGCTCGTTACAATTTATTTGATTCACTCATGGAACAATTATGAGAGAGAGAGAGGAAGAGAGGGGGGGGGGGAGAGAAAGAGAGAGAGAGAGAGAGAGAGAGAGAGAGAGAGAGAGAGAGAGAGAGAGAGAGAGAGAATGTGTGTTTTGTAAAGTGTGTGTAAGAGGGAAGGAAGAAAATGAATGAGAAATGATGGAAGGGGGGGAGGGGGGGGGAGTAAAAAATGGGGAAAGAAAAAAATTGAGAGAGAAGGTGGCAGGGAAGAGACAGAGAGAAAGGTGCTAAATACATGTAGATGTGAGGGGAGGGGGGGGGGACAGATCACTTGCCTCTATTTTTTGGAGTCACTTTGTTCAATGTAGCCTACATGTCTTGTACATTTGCTTTTATGCCTAAATTCTGTCAGAAGACGAATTTCATATTAAATACAATTTCCATCATCATTCTGTCTTTTTGCTTTTTCCGATTTTGTCTTAGTTTTCACCTGCGCAAAATGGGTTTTATTATGTCCATGGCGCTTGTCTTTACCCAAACTATATCTCTCTCTATCCTCGTCACCCCCAGCGTCTCATGGTGCTAGTGTACAGGAGGGGCCCTGAAATCTGCGGCATCATGCGGAGAGGAAACAACGCTCAGCTGTGCAAGGAGATCAAAGAGAAGATCAAGTCTGGCCTCACATACACAGTGGAGGATCACCAGGCACCGACAGCTGCCTCTGTATACAAGGTGAGGAAAGAACTGTGCTACAGTACGTATTTTATGCCCTCTCACCACCACTTGCTCGAGATGTTATTTTAAAACTGAAATTTTTACCAGATTTTTAACATTTTAATTGAAATATTGACCTATACCAAGCCATGCTATGAACTGTTGTGAATGCAACCAGCTTGTGTTTCGTGTGCTCATATGACCTTATAATGCAGTTGTGAGTGCAAAAAACTCTTACTCAACTAAACTAAACCACTTCCTCGAGTTGGGGAGTTCTATTATCAAGTACCCCTCGTCTGTCTTCTTTGATCCTGTGTCCCACTCAGCCCAGGTTGGCCTTGAGAGGCTGAGTAGAAGCAGTCTGCCTCCGAAATGATCTTGAAGGTTGTGTCTTTGGAAGTGTAAAATGTTTGCAATCGTCTTGTTGGGAGAGCTCCAGTTTGAAGTCCATTTCTTTCAGGGCCGAACTATAAGCGGGCAGTTATTATTAGCTCTCATTCAGAGGAAATGGGTAGAGGGAAATGAGCCTTGGCAATCAGTCTTTTGTGGAAACCTCTACATTCAGCTGGTACAAGTTCAAGTGCACCATTGATAGGTCGTATTTCTTTTCTTCCCCTCTTTTGTTTCTATCTCGCTTTTTACTTTCACCAAATAACCACTGTTGCATTGTATGTTTCTCCTAACTAGAACAAAACAATAGTTTTTCACAAATGTAGCAGATGCTGGTTGGTAAAATTCCTGCTGTGATGAGCTGTTGTTTTTTTTCACTGTTACCATCATTATTATTTTACAATGTTATTCTTTGCAAAATTTGATTGTTATTGTGCAAGTTATTGTAAATTATACACAAGCACACATTCATTCACACTCACATTTGAAGACATTTTATTTCCAGTCCATTAATTAAGAAACTGCCAAGGGACCTTTCTTTCTTCACCTTTGTGTATATAACTAAAAGTTTGCTTATGTTTTTCAAAATAGTGCTGTCTTTTTCTTTATTAGTACATTTGAATTTCATGTTTACTTATATAATTATTTTCGTCCATCCAGGAATTCTTGCGGTCAATCCCAGGCGGATTGCTCATGACCGAATTTCACGATCAGTGGGTCAGAGTCCAGAAGGAGGAACAAGATGATGTGAAAATTGAGAAAATTAAGACGTAAGTAACAGGCTTTTTTTCTCCACCCACACCTCTTTTGCCAGTCATAAAGTAACATATGTGAGGCAGCATGGTAGAATCAGGCTCTCGTCAAAATAATCAAATTGAAGAAACTTGCATTTTTCCACAGATTTGTGAATTTTTATCAGATTTTTGTCTTTTGGCTCAACACCTTTCATGCCCATTAAAGAACTCATTTCTGTGTGGATTTTTCTGAAAAACGATGATTAAAGCTACAAAAAATATAAATTTTCAGTTACCACAGACTCTTCAGAAAGGGAATAGCTCTTCTTTGGCGGCTCTTTTCTCACTAATTTTACCTCTAAAAACATGTGACCCCCATCTCCTTCATTCGCAAATATTTCGACTTGTATTCAAGATAAATGGATATTTTTTTATCCCAAGTGAACAAGCTTTAAGATGATACCAATAACTCTACATGCCCAAAAATTGACGTGAGCCTGATTCCACCACGCTGCCTCACATATAGTGTTGGAATAATACTCCCCCCCCCCCCCCCCACTCATTCGAGTAGATTCCAACAACTGAATCAGATTTTCAATAACAATGATAATAAAATGTATTGCCAACTGTGCTACCTCAAGACTTTGTAAATTTCTGTATTAAATTATTCTTGTCCACTCCCTTACCTTACAGGCCCACCTACTTTTTTCTTGCACTATATATATAGCTGTCACTGTCATTATATTGATGTCGTTCTCTGCTCTCTTATGCAGTTGCGAGCGCAGTAAAACTTTTACTAAACTAAACTGATGTCCTGCTCTCTTTTGCAGTTGCGAGCACCGTAAAACTTTTACTAAACTAAACTGATGTTCTTCTCTTTACTCTAAACCCAAAGTCTGTACAGTACCTAATGATGTCCTCTCTTTCTCTTCCGTTAGCATTCTGTCACAAGTCCCCCCAGCACACTACTGCCTGATCAAGCTAAGTATTTGTCTGCTGCAACATCTGGCCAAACACTGCGAGGTAAACTGCATGGGCCCAAGCAATCTGGCCACCTGCATCGCTCCGTCTTTCTGCAAGCTCGATCTGCCCAATACGAAACATGCCTCAGACCTGGAGCATGTGCAGAGTTCCCTGCACGAGATCACAACCATCTTTACCCCTCTCATTTCCTTCATGATAATCAAACACATAGAGATCTTTGGTGAAGACATTTTGGAGATGTTTGTCAAGTTTGGATGTGAAAGTTCCCCAAGCTCAAGGTTGGATGAGGACAGAACTGACTCCGGCCTGACTACGAATACAGAGGAGGAGGAGGAAGAGGAGGAGGAGGAGGATGAAATGATGGTAGAGGATGAAGATGAAATGGAAGAGGAAGATGATGAGGACTACAGCAACCACCAACAGCTGCCAAAGAGGCACAGGCTACAGCTGCAGAAGCAGCAGCCCCAGCGACAGCACATTCAGAGGGATTCCAACTCTGGGACAGACTCTGACAGCATGCACAGTGTCCTCAGTATGCCAGACACAGCGAGTAAGAACACAAGCTCTACTTATCTGAATAATAATAATAATAATAATAGTAATAATTATAATAATAATAATAATAATGGTAATGGTAAAAATAATAATAATGATAAAATGGTAAAAACAAGAAGATTAATAATAATGATGATGATGATAATATTAATGATAGTAGCAATAATTACAACAATAATAATAATATCAATAATAACATCATCAATAATAATGATACGATAGAAGCAATAATAACAACAAAAATAATAATAAAATTAATAACAATAATAATTATAATAATAATAATAATAACTATTATAGTAATAATAAATAGCATTTGCATTCACGTGCCCCAGCTCAATAGCAAGCTCTCTGCGTTTTACAATCTATTATTATTCCAGCAGACCTTTAGACTCTTAGAATCATTCTCGGCTTCATGGAAAAAAGCAGTGTCATAAGTTGTGTCTTTGGTAGTTGGTGGGTGCTCTTCAGTGGTGTTCTTCCTCTACCTTTCATTAATGCTGCTAATATTCTGATCTGGTAATAGTGAAATATCTCAAGTAAATTCTGGCTGATATCTTTTCTCGCTCGAGATAACATATTACAACAAGTTTTCATCAACTCTTAATGTGCCAAAAGACATTTACAACTAAAAAATTAGAAAGGGATTTGTCATAGTTCAAATTATTGGCATAAATAAAGACACCGGACTATGTTGTTGAGAATTTGTCTCAGAAGGGACACTTCCAGGCCTGTGTTGTTTGGAGATTTGTAGAAGTCACTCATTCTGTAAATGTGAGGTCCCATAAAGTCCCTTTAAAAAACAAAGTGTTCCAAGTGCCAAAAACATGTGCCAGTGACCCTGTTGCCATTTATGGTATATTTTTTTCTCGGTTGTCAAAATGCTGCTTTATGTCAGCTTCAAGACTTTGAGGAAAAGACTGTTAACTGTTTAAAAATGATGTATATACATCCATAGTATATGTATAATATAGACCTTAGTAGTAATGGGACATAATGGTACAGCACATCTTCATTGGATATTTCACATAAGATTTGCTTTCATGCGAGATCTTTTGGATAATTTAATTAAATGAACAGATTTATTAGCATGCATGCTTTTCCCCAAGCATTTTCAAATCACTTGTCCCACTCAAAATAACATTCTTTCACAGAGGTTTCATTGGTTAAATAATTTGTACATGTGTAGGTGAATTTAGTGAATTTCTGTTACAGTTTCTAATGAGTATCTTTTTCTTTTTTATTTTTGTAGATCAACACTGATGGTAGTTAAAGTACTTAGGGTGCATTAAAATCTCCACATTTTCAACTCATTGAAGACTCTCACTAATTGATTTCTCTCTTTTTAACATGTGCAGGATATTAAACATTATAAATGGTTTGAAAACAAAAGACAACATTATTTGCCACTGGTAGACGCCAAAGCAGCAAAACCCAAGCGTAGTATGGTCATTATATAACCAACCGGGGTTACCAGCATTGTAAAACATGTACGAATTTAAAAGCTTATAAAGAAGCTGTATCACTTATACCGACAATTTCTTCATTTCAGTGGGACTTCGTCGTGACGATTCCTCTATAGACAGTCTGGTTGACCGGGAGTACTACCCCAATGAGACAGAGTCCAGCCCCAAGGCGACAAAGTCTCATTTGTCCCCTTCCAATCTAAGTCGAGACTCTGGTCTCACACTGAGTGACACCCAGTTGTACGACGAGGATGCCCTCCACCACGACATGGCCAGCAAGAACTACCAGCGCAGCGCTTCACACTTTGAAGGTCACGAGCTGGAGCTGCATGAAGCAGGCTACTACAGTCGCAGTATGGACATGCGGCATGATCGTAGGGTGAACCCTGTTCCCCCGCCGAGGAAAAGAGCGAGCAAGAAGCCGCACGATGCTCACAGTATCTACGAGCTTGACCATCAAGGTTACCATATCGCGGCTAGCTCCTATCATCACCGCCCTCCTTTCAAACACAGCGCATCCACCACTCAGCTCGACATTTCACAACCGCGAAAAGGTGGTGAACTGCGCCCCATGTTAACGCACCCTCCTTTTGGCAAACGAATCTCATCAGATTCTATAGGGGAGGAAGAAGAGACGCAAGGCCCACAAAATCCGATTGACTTTAATAAAATCCGAAAGGCCCCAGATATTGGTACAATTGTGAAAACTGACAGTGGTACTCACTTGTTCTTGGGAGATGAAATGCTGCCTACAAAGTATAACCTTGGTCCAGCTGCTGTTAAAATGCAGCAAGGGAGAGACCGATTTATTCGTCAGTCATCGGTGACAGACAGTACACCGCCCGTGTCTCCACAGTCACGGTACTCCCAGAGTTCCCGGGATAGCGTCTTGTCTGATTCTACCTACAGCATGTCACGAGATGGCTCGGTGCACTCTGCTCCTCACACACCAGACGAACCTCCTGGAAAATCCTTGTCATGGATGAGAGAGCATGAACTTTCTTTTAAACAGTGGGATGGTCGGCTGGCTCACAGCATGAATGCCTCCACTCTGCCTCTCAGCAAATCTACTTCTGATTTACTTGGAGCTAACTATGAGGAAGAGGAGGAAACTTCAGATCAATTTGGAACTGGAGCTTCGAATAAGCTCACCAGGATGTACAAACCCTCTTCACCAAAGCCTTGGTCTCGTAAATCCCATGAAGCGGAGGAAATAGAAATGAACCGACGTCCTCACTTCAGCCTCATGGTCCCGTCTGAAGATTTCTCCTCAGAGCAGGCCTCACGCAGACAATCCAGCCCAGCATACTCCAGACAAACTCTGGCCCAGCAATTAGTGAAGGGCTCTCCACCTCCCAATGTAATACTCAAAAGCCTTCAGCCCCCACAAGCCCGAAGAGAGTCTGTCCCTATGAAGGCGAGCTATGACAGAGAAATCGTTGATCAGGTTCGACGCTCTAGCGCAGATTTCGCTGAAAATTCACCTTTCGATGTGGCGAAGAGCATGAGCTCTATAAAGCCAGCAGAGTACTTTAGTGTTACTTCCAAAGAAATAATGATACCATCTCCTGATGATGGTGATTCATCCTCTTCATCTTCTAATGTGAACAAATTAAAACTTTCAAAGTATGTCAGTTCAAATGTAGACTTGCCTTTGACCTCCAAAGACAAAGACAGTGTATTAGCAGACTCCAAACGCCCAGACAGACCGCCTAATTACCAACAAGCATTACAAAGAAACTTTATGTTAAAACACAGCATTCCTGTAGATATTACCAGTGATGAGACAGAAAAGCAAAAGGAAGTGAGTGCCAGAGCAAAAGCGCTGTATGAAAAGTCAGTGCAACGGTACAACGAGCAGCGCACAGGAAAACCTGTTGAGGGTCACAACTCCTCTCAAGGACAAGGTGTCGAATCAAAAGTGGGTGCAGCATCATCGTCAGCTTCCATCACACCTTTAGACAATAATCCTAGATCCAAAACAGAATCTGTGATAGACAAAAGTTCCAGTGATGGGGAAACCATCTTTGCACACAGCGCCCTGTCTGCTTTGCCAAAAAATAGCCATCAGTTGGATGTAGAGAGCTCTTCAGCTTTCCTTGACATGGGTACCATTTCACGAAGTCTACAGGAGGATGTTCTTAATCAAAGAAATGCTCTGGCAAAAGAAGAACTGAGTTCAGCTGACGGCAGTTTCTATGGTGACCGGAGTATATCCCGTACCAGCAGCAAGTTGTCCGACACAGGTTCGTCCAGTGGGAGTTCTGTGACCGTGTCCACTCTGAGCAGACACTCGGATTCGTTCAGCCGTCACTCGGACATCAGCAATGTGAGCAATGTGACAGTGTCCTCTGTCACCAGCAGTGACAGCAGCACAGACGCTCACTCCATCAAATCACAGCGGCGCTCGGGCTCAGAACTTGATCTCCGCAGTATGGCCTACAGTCGACATTTTCGTCCTGTGGAGGCAGAAAAATTGAGTCCTCCGTGTGACCAAGAAATTCCGCGCCGGAGATCCAGTGGCGCCATTGATGAAGAAGACATTTATGTTACATTACAAAATAAAAACCCTAAACAAGTGTACTTAGAATCAAAGAGAATGTTTGAAGAAGATGATCCAGTTGTACAGCCATCTGTGTCATTTTCATCTCACCCTTCACAAGAGCAGTCGTCAACCCAGCCATCATCACATTCTCCTTCATCATCCCATCTTCCATTAAGCTCTTCACAAAGCCCACAGCATTCTCCTCATATTTCGTCTTCCCCAAAAAGTTCTAGTCTGCCATCGGCAGAGCAGACTTATTCGGTAAAAACTTCACTTGAAGTGCCTAGCTCCAGTCTACAGAGAAGCAGAAGTGATTCTGCTGAGCACATCAACAAGCTTGGTAAACTTAGTCCCCGTTTACAAACGAGCAACCGCCTCGCACAAGTGACCCAAGGCAAAGGCAGTTCACTAGAAGACAGTCAACTTTCAGTTGCAAGGTTTGAGGAGCACTCTGCCACAGTGAAGAAATCTTTTGACAAAAAGCCGCCGTCTTCAGATCTTTCGGAACATAGACATAATTTTTTGAAAGCAAGATCCTATTTTTACCATCCTGAAGACGACAAGTTGGCCTCACCAAATGCTTCTCCTCGACCTTCCGCGTCCTCATCCTATGCAGCATCATCTTTATCATCATCAAATTCGTCATTACCTAGCAATTCAGCTATCACAGTTCGCAAAATCCCAGCAGAAAATGTTGCCAATATTCCATCCTATGAGGACAAAACTGTGGACTCTGGCTATAACCTTTCTCCAAGGTCAAGGTCAAATATCCCAGCCTCCAGGACAGCTCACGACAAACATGTTGACAAAAAAGACCCTCCTCCATCTGCTTCATCTGTGAGTCAAAGTAAAAAAGAATTCCCTTGGAGTGTGAAAGACCTGAAATCTATCTATGATAAAGATAAGGGCCCCTCTTCCTTAAGCAAGGGAGCTACTAGCACTCAGTCTACATCTACCTCATCATCATCATCATCATCATCGTTAACCACTCGTTCACAGCAACAACAGCAGCAACAACATCGAAACCCCCCACCATACCAAGACCCACCTCCATTTCGACGAATGCAGGACAAATACCGACTCAGTACTTCTAGTAACAGCAGTGCAGGCAGTGACCAAGGGTCTAGTGCCAGGAAACTGTCGACTAGTAGCGGTAACGATCCACACAGACTGGGCCCTCAATCAAACGGCCTTGACGGGGCGAGCTACTGGAGCTCATCCGAGGATGGATACAGTTCATCTTTGGATCGTAGGTCAGTCAAGTCATCCTCCAGCTCCAACCCGGATGTCGAGGCCATATCTGACTACTCAAATATCACATATGTGTGAAGAGAAATCAAATGTCTTTAAAGAATTAGCCTGCCCCTCCAGCAAAGTTGGTAACCAATTAGACTTATCCACAAAAGTTTTAACATGATATGCTCTGTGGAATATTACCCCCATCCCGGTGTCCTGTTTATAGGGGGAAAGAGAGGTTCACCCTTGAAATAACTTATTCTGTGTCCAGTAGAGTGTATAGTAAAGCTCAAATAAAAGTGAACAACAGGCTGTGTCACAGCATGAAACAGGGCATCAGTTTCCCTTTAGGTTCAAGCACACCAGAAATATAGTCACTTACTGCCATACTGCAACAAACTATGTTGTACACCGTGGCGTTATTTGGAACAGATTTCCTTGCTATTTATCATTATCACAAATGTAAAGTAATAGCGAATTTGGAATCAAAATTTTGGAAGACTAAACTTTAGGAACCGTCAGTAAGAAAATGACATGACTGTAGAGGTGTGACAGGTCAAGAGGTGTTCAAGTGATCGGGCAGGGAAAGTATTAGAGAAGTTGTGTTACTGAGAAGCAGCCCTGTTACAAACTGCAAATGTGTTGTGACAAAAAGACAAATGAGTATCATTCAAAGGAGAAATAATTAATTGCATATATTACCAAACAACAATTTTTTGGTAATTATTTTGATTCAGATTTCTACTTGGTTTGTATTAGGGTTTTTTTGTTGCCAGACTTTAAATTGAACACTGTACTAGCTCCACCACACTAGAGATGGAAAGTAACTCAAGACGGGCATACTTTAAAAATGTGAAAACTACACTGGCAATAGCAGAAGCATAAATCAAAAAGAAAGAAAAGAGCACTAGATTAACTGAATCTGAGAAGTTTTGAGACAGCTTAAGAATCCAGAAACTGCAATAGATCAGTGGGTCAAGGCTTGATTTGTGCCCTTGTTAAAAGTTATATTTCATTTACTTTACATCACAACTAAATCCATGCTGTGCAGTGGGCATGCTGTGGACTGGTCTCAGTTGCATGCTGTGAACTGGTCTCAACTGAGAATTAGGATTTGAAACCTTCACCTATCTATGATCCAATCACAATATTTTTCAAGGTTCTTCCTCAGGTGAAGTTTTATTTCGAAAAATGCTAACTAGTTCTGAAGAAGTTTGAAGAACTCTTTTTATCTGTGCGCCAAATAAAACAGATTGTATCATTGAGTTTCTCTTCCATTGGCTAAATAAAATGACTATATATAGTAATGATCACAAGGTATGTTTGATATTACTACCAGTCTTAAAACACCCATCGCGCAGAGAGGAAAGTATTTCTTAGTAATTACAAGGAAAGTTAAATATATTGATATAATATGTATATATATGTAATTAATTGTATATGACAAAATGAGGAGGGCGGATGAAACTTTCTTTGTACTTAATGAAAACCTTTGCCAAACTGTCATAGGTACTTCAATATCGACGAAGCTTTGTATGATAGCCTTACATTCCCTCCAGCAAGTTGTGCAGGTGTTTTAGTCTGGATAGCCTTTCTTAACAGTTACTCTTTTCCATGTTTTCTTGTATTTTTATATGTTGTGCTTGTAAAGAATAATAATTTATATGACTGCCATAGAATCAAATAAAGATAGAAGCTTTAAGAATGGCTGCTTCATTTACATTTTCACTCACCTTTCATATTTTGGTGGTTGCATTGAGAAAGAAGTGTGTATGAGTGAAACTGAGAAATAGAAGAATTTGTCATGCCAAAAAGAAATTTGTTCATAAGATGAGAGAAGCTGAGAGAGAGCGAGATGGGTTTTTTGTTTGTTCTGTTTTGTTGTTGTTTTTTTTGTAAAAGAATTCCTGACTTTATGTGCACCATTAATGCATTCTTTATTCTAAAATGTTTGTGCCAAAATCTAGTTTCAGACATGTGTATCTTTTGTGTCATTTCTTACTCTGAACTCTCAGATGTAATTGAATTTTTGTTTTGCTGCTATAGTAGTGATGCAGTGTAATGCATTATTAAATCATATAATTGCTAGATCTATATTTAAAATAAGAGATGATATTTGTTGCACAAGTACTCACTAGTATATTATAATAATTATATGTACCAGAAAAAAATTTCTCTCAAGCGCTCAAGATTTTAAAGAATTTAACACAGTACGCAGCAGGTCACTTTAATGTATGGGCCAAACTGGACTCTTTCAGAGCACTTGACACTGTTTGTGTAAATGTGTGAGGCAAGATCTAGTTTTTATGCTTGAGAAAAGTTCCCACACATGTGCAGACTCATTTTAGAAAGTCCACAAAAACTATCATTCTTTCTCAGTGAAAGCTGCAGTGCATCTCTTTCACTTGTGTATCATTTAACCCTGTGCTGGCGAAAGTAAGATCCTAACCTTGATCAAAGCAAAATTCTTTACTCCGTTTATGTTAATCATAACCACCAATAACATTTTGAAACGGAAGAAATTAATAAAATAGCCATGCATACTAAAAAGTCAGAAACTATGATTCAGTGGTGATGATGATCATAATAAAAGGAACTTAGATTAGATCATGAAGAAATAGACTTTGTAAAGTAATAGTTTTTTTCCTTCCTTGAAAAAGCTGAAAGCATCGTTTTACCAGAAAATGTAGAATTAAGAACAGTTCAGTCTGGAATTTAACCTCTTGATCCCTGGTCACTGATACACCAGTGGCAAGTAAAATTGCAACAGCATCTAATCTAACCACCAGTACAGCGGCAAGCAAGACTGCATCTCTTCGTTGGGTGTTTAAAGTTAAAGCCTGTACTTGTACGTATTGGCCAATCAAAACAGTCTTACTGCATTGAATTTGGCTAAAGTCTTGCCAAGCTATGTTCACCCATGTGGAAGTTGTTAGCGAGCAGTTTAGTGAAAAATAAAGTGATTTCGTCAAATATCGGCGTGACTCGCTCACAAGGAGAGGCAGAGGCTTCGTGGTAGCCTCAATAGATCAGGGCTCAATGGGTTAATGAACTCTGGAAAATTACTTCTTAAATCTCATGTATCTTCAGGAATTATCAGACACTATCATTTTAAGAGGAGAGACGTATATATCTAACACCAGCATCATAAGCTGCATGTTTTTTGTACTGTGTGATTGCTGTTCCACGAAGCATTAGAACTGGAAGAATGGGTATAAACCAGCACCATGGATTCAGATCCGTTGCTCTTTTCACATACATTTTTGATGAATAAAAGATAGACCAAGTGTCATTTGAAGCATTACGGGGGAAGAATGCTTATTTGCACTGTAATAAATGCTCATTAGAGACAAATGCTTGACTTCATGAAAAAAAACAATTTGAGACTTCCACTACAGCCTTTTCAGGAATACAATGAATAAGTTCTTTATCAATAATTGCCTGGTTACAGTAGCAATACTTATGATATGAAATGATATACCGGGTACAATAGAAGACATTTTAAATACCCTCGGCTATTTTTTTTTAAATTGCAGGTGCCCTCAACATAACTCTACCGTACTACTAACACTTCTACAACTTATTCCAATATATTTTCCTGGTAGGGCATAAAAAAGAAATACCTCATGCAGTCAAAAGGCTGAAAAGTATTATTTTGTACTGTAATATATGCATCATTATTATGTTTATGCACATAGCAACTTTGACTTTATTGTATCATTTGAAAAAAATTGTAAAGACTTTCATGAACGAATGTCACATCACAGCAAAGATTGGAGACTACAAGATGGTTCACTTCCTAAAAAAATGTCCTCTGTCATTTACACGCAATAGTATAAGTATGTTCGTTCCAGTTCTGTTGAAGATGTTTTGTTTCATTTCTCAAAGTTCTCCGTACAAATTTTGTTCCTACTCTTTATACGTGTCACAACACGGTGGAATCAGACGCTCGTCAATTTTTGGGCATGTTGAGTTTATGGTATCATTCTAAAGCTTGTTCATTTTTTATTTTAGACCTTTCAATTTGAAAAATATCGATTTATCTTAAATAGAAGTCGATATATTCGCACTTGACGTAAGTGGGAGTCACCCGGTTTCAAAGATAAAGTTAGCTAGAAAATGGACGCCAAACTATGTCATACTTTCAGAATCTTTGGAAACTGAAAATGTACAATTTTTGTCCCTTAACGTTTTTTCGTAAAATCCATACGCAAATGTGTTTTTAAATTAACATAAAAGGTATTAAGCCAAGAAACAAAAACTCCATAAAACCTGCCAAATCGGCGGAAAAATGCCATTTTCTTTAGTTTCATTAATTTTAACAAGCGCCTGATTTCACCACACTGCCTCACACGCACATACATATATTATATATAATAAGATACATAACTCCCTAAAGATAGTATCCTAAGATCAGTAATATATCACCACCAGCGCTATTGATTCCCATCGCAAATAAAGGAGTGACCCATCATGCAGTACACAATCTTTGATTACACAGAGGGTAAACTGTCACTTTCTATTATTTTTTTTAAAATCATGTCATTACTGAATTCTTGATTGTCTTTGCTTTCTAAATCTATTTTCAGTAATTCTAAAGCAAGGTAATGTTATTTTTTTTTGTACGTACATACATGCATGCATGTTATCTAATGCCAATGTATAAAATAAATGAATAAGCCGCTGTTTTACATTGGGCGTTTTCCAATGTCATTTTAATAAATGCTCCAATAATACTCAAGAGGAATTTCAAGACTTTTCATTTATACAGATTCAATAACTAATTCTGAGTGTTCAATTTGATGTTTTCACCTCATCCTCACTGCATACTCACATTCATATGTTTACACTAATTGTCCGCACATACACACATGCGCGCACACATTCCTTGACTGTTCGGTCTTTGTGTTTCTCTCCTCAACCAACGAACAATCCCCACCCCCAACATCAACTCTATTTGTCAACACACAAAGAGACACACACACACACACATACACACACACACACACACACACACACACACACACACACACACACACACACACACACACACACACACACACACACACACACACACACACACACACACACCATGCCATTCACATTCTCCTGACTGTAATATCAGCTGAGTGAAGGTTTTGGCAAACAAAGATTGTAGAAGGAGTTAAGGTGAAGGTCTGCAATGGGCAGCCACTTGACGAAGCCGCTTAGCTGCAAACTTGTGGCGTCTGGGTCTTTCTCACAGCAGTGAGGGTCCTTTTCAGAAGAAAAGAGAAAACTATCATCGATAATGCACAGAACAAAGTCTCGAAGTCTACAAAGCTGAAGAAAAACCAACAGTGAATTCCACAAAAGTCAAAACTGGTGATGGGGGCTGCTATTACAGCATAAATACTATAATTAACTATAAGATTTTCTTTTGTCTTTTCACACCAAAACATAAATCTAGCCAGTGACATGCCCACTCACTTAACAACCCGACACAATTCAAATACCATTTTTTTAAGGTAGGTGTTATCCACCCCTATCAATGCAATTGACATCATTGCATTTACAAGGTAGGCTTCAACACAGCCTGTTTGGGCCAACCCAAGCTGGAGGGTTACAACATCCAAGAAAAAAGACTGAAACACAGAATAAAAATAGTTCCCACAAAGGATTTGAACTCAAGTCTTCTGCATGGAACGGCAAAACACCTTACCAATACTAAACCACAGACATCAGTATCTCCTTTTTATATCTTTGACTTTTTTTTGCCAGTAAGTTTGCTCTTTCATATCGCCAAATCGGTATGACTATCAGAGCTAACTACTTGTCAGCTCAGAAGAAGAAAAAAGTCTTCCATCCTAATACTCTAAGGTATCGAATAAACGTCTCTCCCCCCCCCCCCCCCCACCCCTTTATTGGATACCTTAGAGTACCTACAGCTTTTATTTATCCCAGTTAGTAACAACTTGACCTACACACCTACACAAAGAAAATGATATTTTTTTCTTCTTAAAATATAGATAGGTTCCCCACTTCATAGCTGTAGGGCCCCTTGCCATCACGCAGCTACATCCCATTTCGAAGGTACTCTTATGTTTTTTTATACTGATTAGATCTGGAGTATTTTAAGTTTTGGTAAAGATCAATTTTGAATGAATTTAGCCCAGATGGTGGCCAAAGTGTATTCTTATCAATTTTAGGACCATCTTTAAAGTGCACAACTTGTACACTGGAGCTCCAAGATTTTTCACCGTTATCCAAGAAGGCTAGGTGTTCAATTTTACCTAGGCCTACCCTAAGACCAGGAGTTTGGCTGAAAGACAGCAATAAGAAGGAGGCAGGAGTAGCAGTATAAAGAGTCAGGAGTAAAGGAGAGAGGAGCCCAGAAGAGGCCAGTGGAGTAGTGGAGATAAAAGTAGGTGACACAACATCAGAAAAGGACAGGAAAGGAAAAGAAAGGATAACATTTTAGAGAAGAAAATTTTTTCATCTGTCAGGTTGAGAACTTGGGACCTCTTGAACAAGAGGTGAACACCGTACTTCTAAACCACGAGAGCCCCAAATTAGCACCAACTCAAAACAATCTGTCCAAGCTAGCCATCTCTAGTCTGCAGAATCTGAAACATGTCTCTCCCACTTATGAAACACGTAATAAAAAGATTTTAAAAATTGTTTTAATAGAGGTTTTACGGCGCTCGCAACTGCATAAGGCCAGGGGGTGGATGTCAACAGAGAAGTCGTTACAGGGAATCAGACTTACTCTGCTCATCTCTCTAGCTTAAACAGCACAAAGTCTGCTTCGACTATCAAGGCACCCCGGAAATAGTGGGTCACAAGAGAGTGACAAACATACAAAAGAAGTAGAGGAAAAATGACAATAGTAAGGATTAGGAAAGAAAAAGCAGCAGTTCCCTGTTGTAGATCAGGCACAGTTATGAGCGTGACATTGATGAATCAGCCCATTTACAATTCTACTGTGCATGAACGAGAAATGTCCCCCCTTTGGGAATGGCCTAAAGACACTTCAGTCTGTGACACTGCCCTGGGGGTTAAAAAAAAATTTTTTAATAAAAAAGAGATGAAAAATATAAACAAACTTGAGGACAGGAGGGAGTGTATCAGAGAAGAATTCTATTTGATATTTTGGTTTGCACTTACAACAATGAGTAAGGCAGGTGGCTCCAAACGCACACCAACAATCCCTTTAGAAGAGTTGTCGGTCTCACCACCTGAAACATAAGACATATGAGCCAGATATCAGATACAACTTTTCAAAGTTTTAGTAAGAGCATTACGGCACTTGCAACACAATAAGGTCATATAAGTGTCGAAGAATAAAGGTGTTACAAGAGAATAACATACACAAAAAAGAAGGGGGAGAGATAAGGATGATAGACTTTTGATAGGGAAGAAGGAGCAAACCACACCAGAGCACTAGCCAACTACCCGCACAGATGCAATTTATATGTACATGTAGGTCCTTCAACCCACAAAGCAACTGAACACACACACACAGATATACAAACACACACACACACACACAATGCACACACAAACACACATATACACGCACACACACAGGCGCGCACACCCGCACAAGGACACTTTATCTTGATGCACAATTCAAAACTAAGTCCAAATAGATCCAACTAAACATTTCTTCAAAGTTTAAATGACAAAAGCAGTTTATCTTTCAGGCACAACTCATTTTGACAAGCAATCTTAACAAATTTTATCCCTGACCTGGCAGATTCAGCAGAAGCTAATAACAGTATTTACAAGGGAAAAATAACAATAAACTAAGGTTCCTACCCATCATTATTGGTGCGCCTACAACTTGAAAATGTTGATGTAGTTCTGGCAATACACCACTTATCTCAGATCCACTGTTGACATGAATGACTTTGCCAGGTACCTAAAGGAAGGGAAAAGGTTCAGGTGACCAGGAGAGCACTCAAAAAAACTTATCATGAAAAAACAGTAAGATAAGACTTTTTGCCTGTTTGGGAAATCAATACTTTCACATTCTCAGCAAAAATCCACTTTCATGAGTGGTTCAGTTGCTCACTTCCGTTTCAGAGGGTCCAAGGCTAAAGTTTCCCTTGCAAGACATTTTCATTCAAGTTGTTTTGTTATCATTAGGTTCAGCTATACCTTTGAGTCAGCATAACAACTGCTACAAGTATATGCTGCTGAGTTTTACAAAGTCAAACATTAACACTGGGAGAAGAGGTAAAATGGGTAGGGTGTGTGTGTGCGTTTGAGTGGGGAGGGCAGTGACAAGAGGATGGTTCGTGTGAAAGGAAGGCTAAGCTAACAGTTCAGATAATCACTGATTTTACAGGGACTCAGCATTATGCAGGGTCTCCTTCAACAGAGACAAGGGGTGTACAATGTTCAGCATGTGAGTGTTTGAGCCCGTGAAATCTACTGCTTGCACTGTACGCTTTCCGAGAAGCCGAGAATGTTTCTGAGTGCTTTAGGGTCTGCTGGAGTAATATACTTGTACAGCGCATAGACCAAGCTGTAGAGCATGCATATGTCCTATATATATATATATGTAGATACAATTATTATTAATTATTACTGTCACAATGCAGTGTTTATAATCTTGGCAAGGTAGGCCACAGAAGTGGCTCCGTCTGAAGAAAGTGTTACCTCTGGATCAAAAAGGATAGACTCAATATTATGATAAAAACAAATAAAAGCAATCTTTAAAATTCATTCAAATTAATGAAATTTCCACAGAGAAACACCAATGACACCTTTTTCCAGTGGAAATGTTAACCACCTCCAACTCCAACACCGGTCCAAATCAGCAATTCCTATTCCCATTGTAATAATATAATAATAATAATACAGCCCATGCCAGCTTTAAGCACGGTCATTGGGAAAAAAGCATAAGCGTGCTTAATGCCGAGACGTGCTTGAGTGCAAAGTAGACATAATCCATAGACTTTCATGTAGAAAATATCCTGAGTTTTTCCCTTTGTTCTTAAGTCGTGGTCGCGCAAAAGTGTGCGCTGTCATTTTTACTGGCCATGGTAGTTTTTGTTTCTTTGTTTGTTTGTTTTGTGGTCAAATGGGAAATGAAAACTTAATTTAGACGGCCAGTCACGATACAGCACACAAGGCCTATACACTGCCTGTGCGTACCACAGCCTTCTTCTCTGTGTGTCCAAGTGTGTGTGTGTGAGTGTGTGTGTGTGTGTGTATGTGTGTGTGTGTGTGTGTGTGTGTGTGTGTGTGTATGTGTGTGTGTGTGTGTGTCTGTGTCTCCATCACTTGTGTTCTTTGTGTTTCTCTTAAAACACTCACTGTTGCGGTGTAGACTGTGTTCGAACTTCGATGGGTCATCAAGAAAGTATTGACTGTCTTGTTGATGAAGCATGCCCGAAGCTGAAGTTACCGTGCTTAAAGCTGTGCAATTTATATAGCAAAAATTCGGTTAGAGCCCTTTAGCATGCTGGAGTCCAAAACATGTTTTATGCCGGCGTGTTTAAAGCCGGCACTGACTGTTATAATAATAATAAATATAACAATAATAATAATTGCAATTATAAAGCCTATAACCATGCTCTACAGCATGCCCTATATGTTTATAATTAATTATATTATTACCCCCATCAGACCCTACAACACTCAGAAACATTGTCAGCTTCCTGGAAAGCATACAGTGCAAGCAGCCAGTTTAGTGCTCAAACATTAACAAAATGACAAGATCTTTTACTATAGCTGGGTATCCATTCCCACCAGGGTGAAGGGAGGAAAATTCACATTAAGTGCCTTTCCCAAGGACACAACACCGTGCCCCTGGTGGCGTTCAAACTCTAATCTGCCAAACCCTGAGAAACGAGTATGAGTAACACCAGAGAAAAAATAATTCTATTGAGTGATTACCTCATAAAAATAATCCAGACAAAGAGATACTTCAAAACTACCAATCCATTGTCTTGACCCAATGAAACTCTCCGGTTTATCCTGCATGGAAACCAAGGCCTTTTGTATCTCTACAATGCTTGGAACGTAATTCTTCTTCAGTGATGGACCAAGTTGAGGATGTCTGCAAACCCAGGAGCATAAAGTCTGCAGAGTCCTGTAACCACAGCCCCAGCCCTGCACAGAGTTCAGGTATGTCAGATCATCAAAGATTTATTTATAGAGGCACCAGCCATCCATGTCCAGGTGCTGTTTTAGCCTCAGGTATGTCAAAGAAAGAAAGAAATGTATTTTGTAAAAAAAAAATGTTATTGACTTTGGAACAAGAAGTAACTGAAATCATGAACAAAATTTAAAGTCATTTACAACAAACAAATAAAGGTTTTTATTGAGCTGGAGCTCACACAGAGTGATGGCACAGAGAGAGGGCGAGACAACAGAGAACAAAGGAACCATTCTAACATTCTAACTGCAAAGGGTGATAATTAGACAAAGCTCTCTTTCTGTGCATCACACTTTCACTGTTTTACCACTTTTGTTGAGAAAAGTTAAAAAGATATTATAACATAACCAACTGCTTTAATCTAACACATATTATGTGAATGGTATAAAATTCTCAATAACCTGTGAACTGTCCAGAGAAATACAACCTACAATCTAGCACGCATGATGGTGAACATACACATAGGGAACAAGCACACATAGCAAATATGCACATAGCAATACACACACATGTATAGCAAACACGCATATATATAAAAAAAACAGGCACATAATGAACATATTTTCAGGTCTCAAATCTTACCCTATCATCAACGCCATCACAAAGATAGTGATAGTACGTGTAACTGCAGGAACACAGGGAATCATCTACCACCCCAGGCAGAACAAGATGAACGTCAGAGACATATTTCTCTGAAGGCACATCAGATTTCAAAGAATCCGCCATTCTTCTGAAGATCAGGGCGATTTCATGGGGCCTGCAACAGAACATCATGACATAAAACTGAGCACAGCACTTCCCAAACCCATTGAGAGATAGCTCACAAAATCTGACATAATTAGATATAATTCGAATAAATGGGGGGGCGGGGGGTCTCGGGGCTCATGGTTGAAAGGTACAATGTTCACCTCTCATTCAATAGGTTATGGTTTAGAAACCCGACTATGGTGGAAAAATTTTCCTCCCTGAAAATATGTTTTCCTTTCACCTCCTTTCCTACTCTCTACTCATGTTCTGTTGTTTACTTTTGTCTCCACTTTCTGCCCCCCCCCCCCCCCCACCCACCCCCGGGCCTGACTCTTTCATTCTATAGCCATTCTACCTCTACTCCTTTAGTCCATACTACTGCTGTCTTCCAGCTACACCCCTGACCTATAGGGTAGGTAAGATATGACACCTAGCCTTCTCAGATAAAGGTGAAAAAATCTTGGAGCTCCTGTGTGCAAGTTGTGCACGTTAAAGTTAAAGATCCCTAGGTGGTCCTAAAATCAATAATAGCAGGCTCAGATGAGAACAGCCAATCACAAAAGCCTATGAGTCACAAAGTCAGGGTCATTTTTTTTTTTTTTATTTGGAATGCGATTTAAGGATAGTCTTGACTTAGAGAGGCTGATAGCAAGCTATCAAAATTTCCCATGTCCATTGGATTCAAGAACCTCTCAAAATAGCAGACAAAATATGCTGCAGTCAGCACTTGAAGCCATTATTGAGGAAATGGTTGTTTCATGAACTGTAAGTTTTGTGTAGGCCAACAATTTTAACAACCCTATGATCTATCAAAGTGTTCCTTGTTTTAACTTCTGAATCAAATTTGATACAAGGGAGGGATCTTTCTGAAAGGACCACCCCAGTAAACACAATAAAGAAGAGACCTAACCCTAACCCAAACTCAAACCCTACCCCTAGCCCTCTATTCTACTCTGTCTCACAGTGGTCGCTCATTACGGAAGTCCTCCCTTCCGAAGTGTGTACTGAAGTCTGACTGAAGCTACTAGTATGTCAATTAATCAACCTGATCTCATTCTGCCATTGAGCACAATTAGTCAATACTTTACTTTAGACTTAAATTAAGCCTGTAGCAACATTGTTTGAGTTTGGATGATCTTGGACATTTTGTACAATAATTCATGCAGTGCCAAGAACTAGCCAAGAGTATGCCTACAAGAACCTAGCAGTTAGTAAGTCAGTAGGGACAGGATTAACTCTTCATGTCCGGTGAGCCAGTGGCAGCGGCTCGGCGCGTAGTGGGTTTGGCCAGCGAGCCGCTGACACCGGCTCGCTACACTAGCCTTCATTAAATACCGCAAAACTAATATTTCACGACATCAACCGAAATTATGGTCGCAAATGCCGAAAATAGGTCTTTTTCTGTTTGTACTTTCATTTTGTAGCGTTTGTGCGGGCGCATTTGCTAGATTTGATGGCTTGTTTCCGAACAGCTGATTTTTTTGTGTATAATTTGTTTGTGTTGGTTAGGGAGATTATCATGGCTGGAGATTGCTCCTGAAAAAATTATAGTGACAGTTTTCTTGTTTGGATTATACTGAGACAAAGTTTTCATTCCATTTGGATATTATAAATCTAGATCTAGATGTTGGATCTTGTTGAGGCTCTATTCAGGTTAGTTCATCGTAATGTGTAGGCCTATATGTCTATGTGCATGTGACTCTCATCTTACACCTGGAAACTTCAAATAATTAGCCTACTCAAAATTACTTTGAAAACGTGCATAAAGACTCAGTTTTCATATCTAGGTATATTCAAACAAAACTATAAATGTAAGCCTTTGATTTATTGTATAACAAAGTGTGTATGTATAGAAATCTAGATCTAGATCTAGATCTAGATCTAGTTGTGTTTACACTTTTCATGCCGAATGTGGGTTCTGATACATTTTATTATTTTGGTGTATTTCAAAAGAATGGACTTCAAAGAAGCTACAGCCACCATCTATAGATGTAATCCTAGAATGTATATATATCAACATGTTTGCTTCTTTTACTTTGGCTCTGTGTTCAAATTGTATAAAGTTACACCCCTATTTGTGTGAACAGTGTTAGGTAATATTGCAACATTTTTTTTGCTAATGGCCATTTACTTCAATAGTTTATTTTTATTCTTCAATGAAGGCATCTAAGATGAACACCAATAAATGCAACTTTCATTTCTGAACACAAACATACCAAACGTTTTGATGTGGGCCTAGTAGATTGAAAGTTCTATAGACTTTTGGGCGCTTTTTCGGTAGTTCCCACCCCGCATTTGTTATTCGCCGGTATTGGCCCCAAGAGTAGGGGGGTTTCAGGGAGGCTTGCCCCCCTGACCTAATAAAAACATGGTGGGGGGTTTCAGGGGGGCATGCCCCCCTGAATTTTACCACAATTTAATGTTTTGCAGTTGTTAGGTTTGATATCTTAGCTTGCCGCGAATCAAACGTATATAGATCAAATAAGGGGGGTGGGAACTACCGAAAAAGCGCCGACTTTTGTAACCCACCCTACTGCTGTACAGGATCAGTCCCTGCATGGGAGGCTTCGGTCAGAACGAAAATCCTCTACGGACATGAAGAGTTAAGATCAGAAGGAACGGTTTCCGAACATGATTTATTCTACCACTAGCCTAATTTTCGGCTACTAAAATTACACCGTCATCAAAAGTGTAAGTAAACGTATAGTCGAGTTATAATATTAATAGGCTCCGGTTACAATATTATAGCATTAGGACTATAGTACTATAGGATCAGCCTATTCTACAGTACAATTTTATGCAAGACACAAAATTATCACAAAAACAATTACACTACAAGAGGAGAGAAGGCTGACTGGCTGTACCGACTGACTGCTTAAACTTTCGCTTTCGTTTTTCCAGCTGTTGTTGTCAGTTGTTACGCTAGGGGAGATCACTTCCAATACTTGTGTGTGCAGGTTTGTCTGTATTTGTGGCTATTGTGGCGTGTTATTGGAAAAGGGGTGTGTTGATGGCATCAAAATCACTTTAAGATACAACTGAGCTTGCAAATTGCAACAAACACTGATTATAGCACTTTCTTTGCAGTATTTTTTCAATTTTCAATCATGTAAAGCATTATTACTCGAGAACATTTGTATGACAAATTGCCAATGAGTCAAAGAGGTGCCATGACTCCAAATTTATTTGTAAAAATCAGGAAAACTTTGAAGGGGAGATCACTACGATCCTATCGCCTACGTGAGATTGCACACAAACAGTGAAAGCTGTGTTTAGTATGTTAACTTGTTGAGCCAGCTGACGCAGCGTGAACTTTAACAAAAGTGCCTTTCAAGTTCGAACTGCATAGTAATATTGTCTTGTCAGATTTACATTGTTGTAATGGCTGAGTCCGTTTTGCTTGAAAGACAGGGAAGATGGGATGATGATATCTTCCATGCGGTCACAATGTCCGAGGAATCGTAAGTCATCATTAGTCATCATTGACTTTACACACTTAAGGCCCTAGCATACCTGCCAACCCTACAGAAAAAATCGGTAAATCACCGAGTTTTGGGTCAAACTACCGATTTTGAGATGAAGCCACCGACTTCGGGATTCAGCAGGGTGACTGCCAGGCCCCGGGAATTTGTGAAAGTTATCAAATATTTGAAAACCAAATCCGACAACGCCCGAAAGTTCATTTTTGCCGGTCGCGATTGTGATTCATTCGGCTCCCTCGAGAGTATGTTTCTTCACGCAGACAGGCGGCTATGGTGGCAAGCGGGTGTGATACCGACGTTTGATCGGGATAATCAAGATATAGATCTACTTTCACTTTCGTTACCACCCAGAAATTTGCTGGTAGTAGTTTGATAACACAACATTAATTGTAACAACATGCAGGCTGTGTGCATGGCAAACGCTGTGTCGCCTTGAAATAAAAATCAATATTTGTGCTGTGCTGTCACTTGTGGAAAAAAAAAAGAAAAGAAAAAAAAGTTATAGTTATACAAATACAAGCGTCTTGTCGGGTTCGCCATTGTCACCGGTCAATGAACTTGTGCGTTCCATCACATTGTGAGCACGGGCACTTGTAGGGGTCACCAAAGTTCAATGAAAGTCTGAGCGCTGCGTAGTATAGGACTCCGGAATGGGGGGGGGGAGAGGGGGAGGATTATTTTTTTACGGAACTTGGAAGCAAATTTTAGTATTCTAAATTTTTTATTACCTCTAGATCTAGAAAACTCTGAAAAACGAGTGTTGGTGCAGGCCTTGTGTGGACTCGGGATCCGTCATACTCTTTCCTTGTAAACTCTGCAAAACCTGTGTTGGTGCAGGCCTTGTGTGGACTCGGGATCCGTCATACTCTTTCCTTGTAAACTCTGCAAAGACAAAAGGCCAAGGCTAGGCCTAATAAGTCTTCCAAGGCCCACCTTTTCTTCATCTTTTCTTCTTTGCTTCTGTTTTTGTTTTTTTGTTTTGTTTTGTTTTTGGGTTTTTTTTTTGGGGGGGGGGGGTTTGGTTCCATTTGTGTATGTGTTCGTGCAGGTATGAATAGGACAGGAACTGCACTAACTACTAATAGGGTAAATGCTTCTGGTAGTTTTCATACTTGTCATTTTTTTTTCTTTGTCATTTTCTACATTTGATGAAGTCACAAACACAATCATGCATATTTGATGTGGGTCAAAATAAAATTATATTAATAAGGGTCCCAAATTAAGTTTGCGACAAGAGGTAATATTATATAGCCTACTACAGATTTTTTAGGTCAACTACAGATTTTTGGACAAAAATTTGCGTCCAACTACAGATTTTGGCACAGGCAATGTTGGCAGGTATGCCCTAGGCTCCATTGTACTTGGCCGGACCACAGAGTCGCGAGCAAAGAAGGAATAGTAGACCACATGATTAGATTGACCAATTAGCGTCAAGGTACCAGGGTCGTGGGTCAAAGGGCACGGGGGCACGGTCGTGATGACTGAAAAACCTGGTAAGAGACGTCAGTCGGTACTTGGCAGTCAAAAAATGAGGACGTAGGAGAGTGAGTAGAGGAGCTCTGAAAGGAAAAATAGCGGACCACTAGTTGCCAGAGGCCCCATAGTAGTAGTGAAAGTAGTTCCAACTGGCGGTTACCAGTGGTTTGGTAAACTACAATCTTAAAATTTTTCTGGCCAAATTAAAATGTTCTAGATCTATCTGTGGCTATACTTTCACTGAAAAAAAAAGAAAAACACAGCAGGAGGCATTTTAAGTAGAAAGCAAGAAAGCCCCTTAGAATTTCTAACCTCCCCCTCCCATGGCCCGGTATCAGGTTATTTCTAGGTTTCTAATTCATCAACTAAGAAGGGGGAGTTGACCTTTTATGACATGGTTTCACCTCTGAGCAATTTTAAACAAATCTCTCTCTTAGAATGATAGGTTCTAACTCCCCTTTTTGTAAAACTGAGTTAGGCCTACACTACACACACTAAAACTACACCTTACATTTACTCTCAATACTACAGATATAAATGCCATGCATACAGTGTGTCGAAGGCAGAAGAAGATAATCAATCTAACTTATATTTTGTTCAGTTTGATGCTTAACAAATGAAGCATAAAAACATCTTATCTCTATAAGAGTGTGAATCTCTTAGTCCAATTTTATTTTATTTTTTAAAGTTATTCCAGACCTGCCACTCAACCCGAATTAATCGGGATTTCCGATTTTTTGTCCCAAATCTCAAGCATCCTGATTTTCCCGATTTTGATTGCGTGTATCCTGATTTATGTTTTCCGTCTGGTATGCAGAATTGTCGGTAGGAACTCTAAATTATATTTTCCGAAATATCGATGTTGACTCGCCCCTGCTCGCACGTGTTATATTTCGACTGTAATGGAAGTAGTATCGAAGAGGCATTCTGACTGGGGACATTCTCAAGATCTACTTTCACTTTTGTTTCCACTCAGAATTCTCTGATAATGGCCTGATAACGGTTTCAATTGCGACATACAAATGACAAATGATCAATATTATTCATATCTCTGCTGTTACTTTCAAAACTAGCTTTGTTCGAGTTCTGTTTAATCGGGCTCATCATCAAGACTCTTCAGTTAAAAACTGTTTCAGTTGCAAGTTCACATCACATGAGATGACTTTGGCGTGTGAGTTGAGCATGTACAGGAACAGTCTGTTGATGGGGTCAACTTAAGTTCATGCACACAGTTTGGCTTGAAGATTGAAGTATCTCTGTGGACTAATCGGGGGGTGGGTTAGATGCTTGGACTAGGAGTGCTTGACGTGATACTCCAGAATTTTTTTTAAAATGATGATATTATTTTTTTTTAAACAGGGGGTTTGCGGGTGTGGGGGTGTGTGTGTGTATGTTTGTGTGTATGTGTGTGTGAGAGAGAGAGAGGGGGGGGGATACAGGTAATACAATGTTTTTATGGACACCCTTGAACAATTTTTAAGTCGGCTTGGCAGTCACCTTGGTGATTTGACGTTGATCCCAATTTTTTAAAACCAAATCTCGATTGTTTCCCCCTGAGGTCCTTATTTGTAGATTTCATAGAGTGGCAAGTCTGGTTATTCTTAGAAGAGCTGAAAGTATCTTTATCAGCCAGTGTATGGTCTACTTCAAACTGATTCAAACCAAGAGCTGTCTATTACTACACATGGAATTCGAAACATACAGAAAAAGAAAGTTTGTGGTTTCATTTGTCTGGAATCCCTAGAAAGTGGCATGATCAGGAATAAAAGGGTTGAAAGTTAAAAGAGTTGAGACTAGCGACAGTACCTGCAGCCATATAAGAAAAGTTCAAAAAGACTCTGTTCCACTACTCATTTCTGCCTAGATGATAGTTTAGACCACGAAAAATGCCTTTTTTAACCTTTGCCCTGCCCTCAGACACACAAACAGGCTTACGTAGAACTCCCTAAGCAGTCATCTCTTCATAGCACACCCTCACGTTCTTGCTATAATATTGACCTGTTCTCATAGCAGTCTTTGTCTATCATGTCACTGTGGTCTTTTTCAAGACAAATCAGCCTCAAGGCCTGCCCATAACAGTCACTTGCTACAAAAGTTTTCCGCCATCCCATCCTCAGACTGAGAGTGTGCATTTAGTGAATGCAAAGAAGCCGTTAAATGATTGAGATTATAACAATTCAGATGGAAATGAAATGGAAGGATAAAAATTCTTTCGGATTTTAGATTTTCCTTTTAAAAAAATCTGTTAACTTTGTCAAGACTAGTAAGTGACCATAACCCAAACCCTGTTATAGCAGTCACCTGTCTTTTTTTCTGTGATCGTGAGTGACCATTATAATTATAATGGATAAGTTCAACTTTACTCACACACAGTAGATGTACACACAAACAAACTCATACACATAAACAAATACATGCACACACAGATTTGTGTAATATCATTCTTTGACAACACATAAAAAAGGAAATTACACATATTTGTATGTGTAGCCACTATGACATGTATTATATTTTATAGTTCCTTTGCACGTTTTTCCAGGTCATGGCAACAAGGTTATGCAGATGGTTTTAAAGAGGGAAGAAAGAGAGAATTTGAGGAGGGACACCACCTTGGAGTTCAAAAAGGCCTTGAAATTGGCAGAGAGGTTTGTTCCTTGCCATGAAGCTCTTATAATGTCCGTCTGATGTATCCTTTTATTGCTTCTTTTTTTTTTTTTTCGTTATCAGTAACTTAGATCTGAAATGGATAAAAGGAAGTGATTGAAATGCAGTTGATTTCTAAAGCAGTGGAATTAGCTGTAACTACCACTTGTATAAACAACCATTCCGCCACCCCCCCCCCCCCCCCCCCCCCCCCCCCTGCAGTTTTTCTGTGTTATGATAACGATAACACTGTCCAAGTCCACCAGTCTAAGATGTCCATTTAACTCAACAATGACAATGGGTGTTTGTCTTGGACAGGTTCGACTGTACTCTCTTAAAAACTGGCATTATTTATTATGTAAGATTGCTGTTTCTCAGACTTGATTTCTCTGAGACGTGTAAAGAGTAGGTGATGTTGAGATATATGGATACAGGAAATGTTTTACTGGCATTTAAAAAAAAATTATGCTTCTAAGTGCTTGTCATTTCTTATGTCACAGATTGGCTTCTATGTTGGGTTTGCATCACAAGTTTTGAAAAAAACAGATACAGGAAAAATGAAGTGAGTGTTTTGTAGTGTAATTAAATGGAAGAAATTAATATGTCTTTAGTCTTTAGTGAAAGTCCAACAATGATTGCTTGAACTCAGCAGGGTTTACATCTTATGGTTAGTTTTGAATTATTCAAATTGTTCACCAATCATGTACGACAATCAATTTAATGTAACATTAATTGAAATGGAGATATACTTTTTGCTTGGATTTTAATCATTTGACATATATGCCATGGTTTATTATGGCGAGCAAGGTTTATTACTCATCTTCCACCTTAGATGTACTTCAAGTTAAAGGTCATCATCAGCTCATGATGGACAAACTATTATGGATTATTGATTTTTCTTATAAATATCCCTGAAAACAGTGATATATTTTATACTAAGGCGAGTCATCCTATAGATTTTAATTTACTTGTCACTTTGGCACAGCATTTTGGGCTAGTCTGTTCACAACCTGTGAGTGCCATGACATGCACTATCTAGGATGGCCTTGGCACTGCACACAGCATGAGCTGCCTGTCCACCCCTTCTCATAGGACTCATTCTCTTTTTGTTTTAGTAGAGGTTTTACAGCGCTCGCAACTGCATACAGTACATTCTCTTTATCTTGAAAGATCTTGTTTAAATGGTCAGAAGACGTAGGCCTGTACAGTGTACCCTGTCTGTTTGTATGTCTCTTGCTCTCATCTCTTTTCCCCCGACACCAGTACTTCTACCTGTCCTAACACATTTCTTCTGTTGGTAATCTTAGGCATAAGAGCTTGCTCTGTTTTTGCTTTTCCTAACTAGCAGACATTTTTCTTTTCTTCAGTTTGTAGAGTAGACAGCTTTTTTTAGAAAATATTTTTAAGTTTTTATTGTTAATACTTCACTAATAGATATTTATAATTTTAGTATTCAATAGCATCACTTTCTGTCCTTATTTCTGTGTTTTTTATCCTCTTTTGCGCTTGGTAAAAAACATGTGCAAGCAGTTCAGGTGACCCATTCCGCTATTGTTTGCCTCACGAAAAAATACAAAAGCAATTTCTCATCCAACTTGTAATAGAATAACAATACCAAATAATATGTTTTCTTTCAAGGGTTATCAAAGTGAGTAAGGCAATCATCAGTTTGGCCAGCAAATTTCCTGAAATTGATCCAACGGATGAAGCTCTCACTGACACTCTAGGAAAGATTCAAGGGAAATTCAAGCAGGTACTTTCTTGAGAATGATGTCTCTATGCATACTGTGTTATATTTTTTCTTAACTAACTAATAAAGTGAGTGGTGCGGACCTCTGTTTGAAGGCCTGAAGGCTTTTTTGGGGGGTTTTTTTGGCCTTTTAGATTTTATGTGGGCGTGGCAGTTTCAAGTGATTCCAATTTTGTTCTGTTATGGATAGTTGTAAGAGCGGTAATCTTTATCTTTAAAAAAATGATAAATGAAATGTATGTGGTTTAACATCCCTATTTAAAACAGTTTAGTTCATTTAGGAGACAGGCTTTCAACCCTGCCTGTCAGGGCCAACGTGGAATGAGAAGGCGGATACAACATCCCAGCAGAAAGACTGAGATACCCAATTAAAATTCTTCCTACTCCGAAATGAAACTCTGGTCTCCTGCGTATGACAGTAAAGTGCCTAACGGCTACACCACAGGCGCCCGTATACTTTGCATTGAGGGAAAATACACCATCACGGCTTCGGTTATGACACTTCTGATCACACCTGTCGTGTCTCTCTCTCTCTCTCTCCACAGCTCACTTCCCTTCTAGGGGTGCAGACACAGTATACCAGTGGTAGTGTTAAAGGCACCTCATTTTGATTGGGATCAAGGAGAAAATGCACTAATCTCCACACTAAAAGAGAGATGTGGAAAAGGCAGGTATGTGAAATAGTCATCTCTCTCTTCCCCCCCCCCTCTCTCTCTCTCCCCCCCCCCCTCTCTCTCTCCCTCTCTCTCTCTCTCTCTCTCTGTCTCTCTCTCTCTCTCTCTCGTCTCTCTCTCTCTCTCGTCTCTGTCTATCTATCTCTCTCTCTCTTGTCTCTATCTATCTATCTCTCTCTCTGTGTATATGACCTTTTGCCAATAGGTGGGTACCTAAAATGTAGCTCAGAAGGTTGATGGTAAAGTTTTTAATATTTCGTTTTTACTTGAATTTTTCTATTCATGTACATCTCCTCCTACAAAAACATGTATTTACAGACCTACAGATGGCATGCTACGCTGTGTAACTGGCGTTACATAACATCAAGTCAAATTCTTTCTAACACATTTTTTAGAATTTGAGCATACAAAATTATTTTAACAGTTTTCTTATTGCTTTAATTTTCAATCATAAGCATGAAGAGCATATAAAATGGTGAGGATCACAGATAAAAAGAAATTCTGAATGCCATTGTGTCTGCATTTGTGTCATCATAGTTATGTCCAAAAGAAATGAAAAACTTTCCATTTTCATATGTTAATTTCTTTTATGAAAATTTGGGCAAACAACGATTCATAGATTCAATGTGACTGACAATGCATGTTAATGATGAAAAAATGCCATTTTATTAACATTTTACTATGAATCTCTGCAAAATATCAAATATCTTTCGAACTTAAGCATGATGACACAAAATGAAAAATACCCTGAAAAGTAATTTATAAAAAATAACTTTTGTAAATAGTTTTATCATTGCTTTAATTTTCCAACATAAGCATGAAGAGCATATAAAATCACAGGAAAAAGAAATTCTGAATGTCTTTGTGTTCGCATTTGTGTCATCATAGTTATGTCCGAAAGAAATGAAAAACTTTCCATTTTCATATTTTAATTCATTGTTTTGAAAATTTTGGCAAACAAAGATTCAGGAGATTCAGTTTGACTCATAATGCATGCTAGTGGTGAAAAAATGCCGCTTAATTCACATATTACTATGACTCTATGCAAAATACCAAATATCTTTCGAACATAACCACGATGATGACACATAATGGAATAATGGATGAGTGTTTGTCATCATTTTGGAACATATCATCAATTGACATCAAATTATCCCCCCCCCCGTTGACATCTAGCCGCCAGGCATGCATGGTCGCATCTAGATCTACCACTACTTGACCATTGGAACGCAGTGCGATGTTAATCATTACTTGGTTTAAATTTAATTAAATGGGAGAAACATTTTTCGGACATAACAGCTTTTTCGAACATAACGTGTTAAGATTTGATGACGACATAATAAAACTTAAATGAATTCGTCTCATCCATCTTTATTCTTCTTGCCGTCTCGCATCGCTCAACAATGCGCTGTGAATGATCGACAGGAACGATGCACGTTCCTCCACCCCTATTATTTCTCGTTTTCTAATTGCTTCTTTCGAGCATAACAAATGAAGACAGAGCACAAGGCGTGGCGGGATTTCCGTTTACTGCAAAATTACGCCAAGTCCCTGCCTCGGAATCAGTCAGGGCAGAGAGTAAACATAGGGCGATATTATGCTTGTTCCAGGGCCTCAAAACGGCTGATAGAAACAAAGTCACTGGGAATCAAAGTTGGTTTGCGAAATGACTACATGAGTTATACTCAAAAATGAAAATCTAGAAGGCTCTCAAAGAAAAAACAGCTACAGGTATCACTATTCTTGTTATAGCACCACAAATAAGGTAGTTATAGTAGTTAAAGTATTGAAGGGCAAGTTTCTCCGCAATTATTTCATTGTTGAGTTTGACAACAGAAATAGTACGAAGTCGACGCGTCACGTTTGCATCGATTTCAGAAATAAAAATATTGGTAAGATTTCTTCTGATTGCCCAACTGCTATTTCTCTGCTCCCATAGCTGAAACATATTAAGCACAACATGTACAAATTTCAAAACTGTAGCACCATTTTTATTGGAATAGGAAAGGATTTTGTAGACCATATATAACAGGCCCAGTAATAACAGAGATCCGGTAATAAATGGGATTTTTTTCCTACTCTTAACTTTGTCACTATTAAAAGTTATTGGCAATAACTGGGCCTCATCGGAGCCCAATCGATTATAGCAGGGACAAAGGCTCTTTAAGAATGTGTAAAAAGTAGGAGAGAGAGAGAGAGTAACGGAGTGATGGAGCAAGCCCACACAAGCCACTCCACTGCAAGCGTACGCAGCGGGTGAAGCGAGAGAGGGCTGCAATGTGCTGCAGACTTCGATTTAAGCCAAGCTACACGCACGCAGGCCTGACACATGGTAGGCATACTTGTGGCAAGGGAAACTACCCATGAATAATTATACAGCTGGATTTGTCCACAAATGCTTACTTCCCTTGCATTTTTTATTTAACTCTTTAACTGGGATCTGATATAATAGTAGGACTTTTTCTCTGGTCCCACCATCCCTGTTAAATCAGGTTTCCGCTGTATATGAAGAAACCCCCACCTATTGGCAAAGGCTCATATGTGTAATATTCATATTTTATAGATTGTTGAAAATTTATCTTCCACTGGCTTTGAGAAAACAAAAAAATGTTTCCAGTAGTATTCCTAAGTTATTATTTATGTTCTTTGTGGTTGTTAATTTAGCTATGAAAAAACAATCTTAATTGTGAGTGTAACATTTTTAATAAAATGTTACTGCTTTTAAAGAAAAATTTTGTATACAGTTTCATACAATCTCTCCTTGTTGTTGAACAATAGGAGCTAAGTTTCTATATTCTGACTTTGGATACAGTTTAGCAAGAAGCACATAATGAACACTCTAACTTAGACATGTATTTTTTTGGTATTTATTTAAAACATGTGCTCAGCAAAATTTGTACGCAATGAAAAGATTTTGTTATGTGAGTGTAGACTGCAATGAATAAAAGTTTAGGTTTTGGTCAAGGCACAGGTAGAGGTAAAAATGAAAGAGGCTGAAGATGATGTATTTTATACCACATGATTGTAATGTGTTGTTTAGTTAAAAGTTTGATCTTTTGTGTGTTTTCTTTTTTTATTCTTTTTCTTTTTAGTAGAAACTGGATGTGCCCTTGCCACGATGGACATTGTGACAGGCTGAAATATCATTCCCATCTTCTCTGTTCCCTCTGCCGTCCTACTTACAGATTGAGATTGGGAATTGCAAGTTCACTGTCCCTGGAGCCTTGAGCTCTGTGATTGGGAGTGCCACCAGTTCTGCATTCCTAAACACTGACTGAACATGCTCAGCCTCAATGCTGCAGGAGAATTAGCCGTGTCTTGCAACGAGCTGTTTGATTTTTTTTTAGTAGAGAGACGATTATTGATACAATAAATGAATGTCGTTTAATACTTGGCCGAAAAGCGAGACTGGTAGACAGAGACAGCAGAGAAAGAGGGAAAAAAAGGACTACGACCTGCCAGTGGCCCTCTCTACTAACCACCGCTTTAATTAATGACCCGGTATGACAACGTACCAACACGACACAAATAAACAACAGATCTGCGCTATGGCAACGTCATCAAAGCCTACAAGTGTGCTGCCCTCCCTCCTCACCTATTGGTAACTCAGACCACGACATGATGTTACTACTCCCCTTGTACTGACTTATGCCAAGATGATCTAAGCCCAATGTTCAAAACTGTCACCATCTGGCCTGAAGAAAGTGAAGAGGATGTTTTGATTACACGAATGTTTTTATTTATGCATGTGAGGTTACTAAACACACAGTGCTACAAATGAAACAGAGAGAGAGAGAATGATTTATGGAGCGGGTTGTCCCAGCTCGTGAGACATGTATTTACTAATGTCCTGTCTCGTTGTGCGTATGAGTGAGTTCCCCTAACCTTTGTAATGTCTACTGCCATAGTTAACGACCAAGACAAATTTCTCTCTGCGAGATGAATAAAGATTGTCATTGTTGTGGTTTCAGCAAACTATGTACAACAGTCACACTTACAGACTACATAAAATTTTGTGAAAATTTGTGGTGACCATTTTTTTAAAAACAAGTAACAATGTACACTAACTCTTAACTATGCATACATTCTGGAATTAAAGTTAAAGACCTTAGCCATAAAAAGAAAGTAAGAAGCTTTTTAACCAAAACAAGCCAAGACTCAAAGTCTTAGACAAAGCTATAAAGAAAGTCTGGAAAGAATTTGGGCTGAAAAACAAAAGATTCGAATATAAATTATGGAAAACTGGAAGATCTGTTTCAATAAAGTTATTTTTGTGAGACTTGGACTGGTCTTACACGATAGAATCTACGCTTAACCAACAAGAATAATTTGTGTTGACAACGAAGAGAGCTGTGCAAATTTATACATTAAATTCCTTTTCCTCTCAATTTAACAAAACCAGCTTTTGTGACTCATCACTTGTGAACTCCGAGACAAATGACAATACTGTTGTTATGGTTGAAGAAGGTGAGGTTAGAAGTGTATTTGCAGATGTGAATGTGAGAAAGGGGAATGGTACATACTGTGTGAAACCCAAAATTCTTAAAATGTGTAAAGCACAACCCAGCTTTGTTTGCCCCTGTATTACGTCAAGCTGCTATCTTTTTTGGCCTGAGTCATTTTTTACACTTCGGTGGAGATAATTGGGAAAAAAAAATCTCAGTACGTGTAAAAAGGCACTTTGAAAGCCCAAAATTTCCATAGCTAATTAATTTACCATAAAACCCATCAATTCAAATTTCAGTGACATTTCCTGATGCCTGTCTACGATACCCATGCATCTAAAGCTCGGGTAAACTTACAGGGGTCGTTAATGACGTGTACAGCTTTTATTCTAAGATAAGACTAATAATAACAATCTAAGTCGAAGAAGACATTGCATGATTTGGCTTCTGTTGTCCTCTTATGCACTCCCACTCCCTCCAAGCAACATGAGGGTGGCACACCAATCAAATGCTGATGTTATCAGAATCAGAACATTGAATTTTGAATGCCACTTTTGACGTTCTTCTCCAACTTGTGTGTTGGGTTTATAGTCACTTGGATTTGCTGTGGTTGTTTTTACTTTCATCCCCCTCTGCTAGCTTTGGCTATTTTTTTCTCAACGGAGAAGCCTTTCCACTTCTATTGCACTGCCAATGAGTTCACCTAGAACTTACTTTGCAGATCTGTTGTGCAGCGTATTATCTCTGTTGAGGAGGAAGTGCATTGATATTATTGGCAATTCCAGATTCAGATACATAATGAATGCCTTCACACTTTTGCAGACTCCCAAAAAGTAAGTGAAGTGTGCAGGCTAGAATAGATTTACCCTTAAACACTCCTGTGATGTGCAATAATAAAACGTTCTTGGCTTACACTGTGCAGCTCTCAAACTGGGTCTGTCAGGATCTAGACTCTCCCATGTCAAGGGATTGATGCTGAAGTCTTTCGGAGACATTTTACGGGTGTCTTTTTGTAACGCTTTTTGGTGTGTCCTTTTCCTGTTCCCATGAGGACAGGTTAGAATAGAATACTGCCTTTGGGATTCTGAAATCATGCATTCTTACAACATAGACTGCCCTGCAAAACAGTCCTTTTTTAGTTTGAGATTAGAAAACAGACTCTGCCTCAGCATTTGCCCTTTTGAGAACTAAAGTGTCTGGTATTTTGTCCTGCCATTTATTGATGCCAAGAATTCTTCTGAGACATTTCATGTGGAAATGCTTGAACTTCGAGATCTTGGCATGGCTTTGGTTCACTTTGGACAACAGCATTGTTTTCTTTCAACTTTGTCTCACAGAAATGTACAGTTTAGTTTATAATTTGCCATCTTGACGCAATGAATGCTGGTCAGGTCCAAACGCTCTTCAGCCTTTTTTTTTGTTTGAGTAAAAAGAAGCACATCGACTCAATGACAGTCCTTTAGTGCTGGGACAAAGTAAGGCTGACAGACAAACAAGAGGGATAGGAAATTCTATCTTTTCATTTTTCCTTAGTTGAGATTCTTGGAAAGAGGGAGAGATTTTAAAAACAGACATCTGGAGATTTTCATCTTGCCAAACCCTCCGAACTTTTCAAAAGGAAAGTACCACTACGAACATGTATTGATTTTACAGTCTCTTTACACACTTTTATGTTGGGATTGCCTAAAGGTAGCAACTGGGCATGCTATTTCATAGCGATTTCTCTGAGAGAGTACATTCATGTAGAACTTTCACATATAATTTTTTTCATTCCTTGTAGTTAGTTGCTTTACTGATTGCTTAAAAATTACTTTGTACAGAGGTGCTTACGAAAAAAAAAATGATATTAGAACCGTATGTAAATGCAAGTGCAGACAAGCTTTTCAATGACACATACGGTTATGTTATATGCGAATGAGGTGGTGTGACCCTGGCTGTCATTTTGAATGAATGTGATATAATTTATGTAAAAGCTCTTATGAAAATGTGAATATGGTTGAAAAAAGATTACATGTTTTTTTTACGTTTGAAAACTAAGTAGACTGTATGGAAATAAATCTGAGAGAGATTCTATTGCTTTGTCGTTTATTTATTGTATTTGAAACAAGGGGGGAAAAAAGATGATCTATAACTAACGCGTGCTAACATCAAAGATTCTTTACTAGTAGAGAATCTTTGCTGATATTGAGAAGATCAGTTTCGTCCTGTATGAGTTTGATTGCTGGGATGGGGAAGAACAGTTCGAAGCTAGATACCTATGTTTAGTTTTGCCACCCTCAGTTTCCTCAAAACACTAGACCTTGCTGTGTCTTGATGAAAGTGGTGGTGTAGGTAGTCTCGTGGCAAGACTGTGACCCGACTCCCTCACCATCAGGTTTGGGGTTCTAGGTTCAGTTCAGTCTGACTTTACACAAAATTTTCCCATTGGGTTCAATCCCACCAGAAATGGACATTAAATTAAGAAGTCCCACCTATTGAATAGCCTTAGTGTTGCAAGAGGCGTTAAACCTAAGCAGTAGAACTCGGGATTTAACGAAAACTCAATGAAAGGAGTTGGATTCCCAGTTTTTGGGATTTTTTTTTCTATTCCTAAAAATCGATATAAAAATAGCTGGGATTCAACAAACACATGAATGAGCAAGCTTGGATTCAATGAAGTCACTGGCAAGGTGAACAATCCTCCCTTCTGTGGCTTCGCTCGTTTTTTCCCACAATGAACCTTATGACCTATTCCTGAAAACCATCCATGGCACCTGCATCGTGAACCATTATTTGCTTAGTCTATTGCTTATATCTTATGCGACCAATCAGTGGCTTTCTTTCGTACAATACACACATTAGCACGCACACATGTCTTAGTGTGTGTCGGGGTTGGACGTGCAGCCAGCACACGTGTGACTGTGCGTGTGTGTGTCTCGGGGGGGGGGGGGGGGGGGGGGGGGGGGGGGGGGGGCACAAGCTTACCGCTCGTAGAACTTAATACTTATGTAAAGTAAAGACACAAATGTGTCAGTTTTTTTCCCCCGGCTACTGATCAACATTACAATGACAAACTGGTCTTGGCATAGATCTACGTAATGAATAGCGCACTGGGCTGTAGAATCAAATGTTTCCGTATGTATGGCTCTGGGGGACTCTACAGAGCAACATAACTTGTTCAGCAAACAGTATGTCATAGTAGATGATAAATGACATAGGCGTGCATTTGAACGAATAGGCCCTTTTGCACGGTTTGTGCTTGATAGAGTTCAGAGTTGGAGCTCTCGTGGTCTAAAGGTTGTGATGTTTTCATTAGGTCCCAGGTTCGAATACGGACAGTGACCGAAAATTTTCTTTTCTAAAAATTTCTCCTTTCACCTGCTTTCCTGCTCTCTAACTTTAACCATGTTCTGTTGTCTGCTTTCGTCTCCACTTACTGCCCCCTCTCCACTCCCCTTTGCCCCCTCCTCTGGGCTACTTGCTCTTTCTGCAGCCTTTCTACTGCTACTCCTTGACTCCTTCTTGCAGATATCTGTCATCCACACTCCTGGTCTTATGGTAGGTAAGATCAAGCACCTAGCCTTTTCGGAAAAGGGTGAAAAATCTCGGAGGTCGCGTGTGCAAGTTGCGCACGCTAAAGATCCCTTGGTGGTCCTAAAATTCCTACCAAACTCAAAAATGTTTAATGTGTCCCACACACTCATATGACCTTATGCAGCTGCGAGCACAGTAAAACACCATTTTTTTTTTAAGTTCAGAGTATCTTCCCGGAATTGTCCAGCGTTTCTTCAGTATGGCATCAAAGAAACATCTCTCATTTGAAATCAAATACTTTTGGTTGAAAAAGTCTAATAATACATTATAGACGTTACTTGCTCGGTGCCTGTAATTATCTCCACAAAAACCTCATGTTTGCTATAGCAAACACTCGGATTCAACGAAATTGAAGGCCAGGCCCGACGACGTCGTTGAATCCGAGTTCCACTGTACTATACATTTTTTTTTTGGGGGGGAATAAGTCTATCAACCACTTAAAGTCAAAGAGCTCCCAGCTCCCAGTCCCCTCCTCTGTAAGAGCATTCCAAACTCACTCCAAGATATCCACATCTGTGCCAAGTTTGACCATGAATCTTCTTCTTTCCTATCAAAAATCTATCCTCCTGATCTCCCCTCCTTCTTTTTTGTGTTTGTTACTCTCTTATAACTGTGGCTCGAAAGGGGTGAACAGGGTATATGCGGCAATGAAACAGTTTTGACTGCTATGCACATGTTCCCTTCAACTCTATCGGTAGACTCTTCCATCCTCACTTTAAGCTTACTTAATCAAAGCTTGTGAATGCTTATGGAATGGCCCGATAGGGGCGAACAGGCTATTTCTCAAATTCCTGTGGCAATGAAACGGTTTTGAAGGTTAGGCATAGTCTATTGTTCATTGGTGATTATGAACGTCTTTTTACATTTAATTTATGAGGTTTACGTCTATGGGTGAATTTGACTGCGACAATGTTTCAAAATTAGGAAGGGAAGCAGTGATTATTTGATAGACGCTTCGCCTCTCGACTAGATGAATTATGCCCCATAGCCCGAGCCTGTTGAAACCAGCAAAACAGTGCTTGTTCCATTTCCACTGTTACAAACTTGATTGCTCTCTGGATCAGCAATATTCTCAATTATTTCACCTTTTTTTTATAAAATGAAAGTTGATAAAGTTGAGATCAACATACAAAACGATTTGCACATTTGGGTTTATGACACTGATTTTTTTTTTTCAATCCACCTGTCCTAGGATCAGCCATTTTTCCTCCACTGAGAAGGTTTTCCACTTCTTTTCCTCCGCCATGGTCCACTCTCTACAACTTCATCTTAACTGTCCCCATCGTTTTAGGCAAGAAAAATTCTGAAATTATGCAAACTGAGCCCAAAAATGTGAAATTATGAGATTCGGTTAATTTTTTTATAAAGAATGAAAAAGGAAAATAATCAGAAATTAAGCAAAAAATGATCAAATTTGGCTAAATTATGCGGGGTGCATAAAACCACGGGGACAGTCTTAACTTAACCTTGCAGAATGCCGGCAAGCTGATGCATATTGTCATGCCGACACAAGGCAACTATAACTGAATGTGCCTTTCACTCTTTCACAACCGCGAGTCATGAGATCAACACTTTCTTTTCCACCACAGTTACTGCCGGTTTACGAAAACGAACTCCGGAAATACCGAAGCAGAACGAAAGAGCACTAATTTTAAAAAGGACCTGTAGTTAAGAACTCTTTTTCAGCCAGAGGAACAAAAAAAGATTGTCCGTTATTTATCTTGGAACCGCCAGCAGCCGCGACTCTGCCAGTTAGTGAAAATGGCTTCATCATCCGGTCCTTGGTAGTTTCTGAGATTTCCGGCAGATTTTAGGGTTCACGTGACCTTGCTGAAATGTTAAAATCGTAAATTCTTTCAGCATATGTTATAGTTTTTTTCAAAGAGCTTTCCAAATATATAGTTCTCTGGTCTGTGTATTATCAAATTTCTTACGTCTAAAGGAGTACCCTTATTCCTAAGACTTTCCCCCTGATTTAGTGCAAGTCTGCACTGACAGAAATACATAAAGAAAGACATATTTTTATTCAAATAACAACCAAAACACAAGAAATATGTTCTAATGGTTTATTTTAGCGTGTTATGAGCAATTCTCTAAATCTCATGACATGAATTGTACATATCTCAGTCTGAGTGTCTGAGAAAGCTTCTCCTGTACAAAAAAGTTCTGAGTACAGCACATTCACCCACTGCCATACTACTCCGGAGGCAAAAAAAATATACAGCAAACACAATTGATTGATACAGAAAATAAAGGTATCAAAGCCTCGTGAATACCGTCTCCACAGCATCCACTAAACTAGAATAAACCTCAGCTTTTCTCAACTCCGTACATGACAATATCACTTACTGCGTACAATGAGATTCTTTGGGTTATCCCTCTTTGCTGTTTTCTGTCTCTCCGTGAAAGTAGCAGCAGTGAGGCAACAAGATGCACTTTACATAGGAAATAAACGAATGGGGGCTCTCTTGATGTGAACAGTAAATATTTCACACTCTTTTAAGATACCGTTACACATTAAAATAATCTTTCAACTAAAAATGACATCACATTCTGTGATTTCAACACGGCGACAGCAAAGTTGCCAATGCCTTTAAATAATAACAAAGAGACATAATAAAATTTTGCCACTGCAACTGGAAATCTATTATCTTCTGCAGATCACAAGTAGGTTATTTCCACCACGAAATTAACAAACCCAACTCCTGTTTAAAAAAACCCAAACAAAACAAACATGAGCTTGAGAGTATTGCACGTTTGGCAATGAATTTCTAAACATCTCTAGAGTGTCAACTCAACATCAACAGTTATTTGAACAGAATATCACCAAAGGCTTAAGATTTCACTCTCAACAGCTTTTCATCGGGTGTCGCTCCAGATCGAGTCGTCGCAGCCCCGGACCTTCATGTCTTTGGGCGGGTCCACGTAGATGTGAGTATACAGTTCGTTAAGGGGAAGCTCAGGGTCCGTCTTGGCCAGCTCTGCTGCTTCACCAACCTCCTTCTTGACCTCATCCTCCAGTTTCTGAAACAAGACAAAAGAAGTTTTTAGTTTTAGTAAGAGCAAAACAGCACTTGCAACACAATAGCGACACATATAAGTGCCGAAGATTCGAGGAGTTGTTAGAAGAGACTAACAAACACAAAAAAGAAGGAAGAGACATAAGCATGATAGATGTTTGATAGGAAAGAAGGAGCATACCACACCAGAGCCCCTGCTAACCACCCACAGAAAAAAATAGCCTACTGTTTTAGTGGTTGCATTCAAGGTAAAACAATCTATCTGTTCGCGCGGTTTTAGGCACACAAAAAAAATCTGAAATTATGCAAACTGAGCCCGAAAAATTTGAAATTATGCGAATCTGTAAATTTTAACACAGAATGATAAAGGAAAAATAATCAGAAATTATGCCAAAAATGATCAAATTTAGCTAAATTATGCGAACACCCCGGGGACAGATCTATCCATACCCAAAACTGAAGAAGCTAGGAAACTGCACTGGCAAAAGAGAACTATTGAAAATAGCGTATAACTGCTGACAAAGCAAAGAACATAGCACTGCAATAATCAAATAAGAAAAATGTTTTTTATTATTTATATATTTGATTGATTAGTCGGTTGTAGAAGAGCCAAAACTGACTACTCCAGAATTCTATTGAATGGAAAACAGAAGAACAGGAAAACTGCTTTGACTATGAGCATGGAACATAAACAACAGAATAATTTGAACATAAATTTGGAAGCCAGCTGAACCAGGAAGAGAGATATCAATCTACACTAACTGGCCTTAGATCTTTACACTAAAAATTAAAATGTCTTAGTTTAAATTTTACATCTTGTGTGATGGTGCAAGTGCCTAATCAGGCCTTCGGCCCTTAATAAAATCTTCCAAAAGTGAATAGATACAATAGAGCACACTTATACTACAGAACACTCTTGTAAAGAACTGACAGTAATAAAGAACACATTTTTTTGCCTCTCTTTTTTTTCTCTTGGTGTCATTTTTATTTTGACGCATTAGCGAACATACGATAATGAACTGACAGCTGTAACAAACCAATTTTCTTGCTGAACAAGTCTTTTTCCTAACTATTTAAGACTAAAGTAGCGAATCAGCCCATCTCTTCAATTTTAGTAGAGTTTTTACGGCGCTCACAACTGCATAAGGTCATATGAGCCCAAAGCGGTGGATGTCAACAGAGAAGTCCTTACAGGGAATCAAGCTTACTCTGCTCACCTCTCTAGCCTCAACAGCACAAACTCTGCTTCGACTATCAAGGCACCCCGGAAATAGCGGGTCACAAGAGTGTGACAAACACACTAAAGAAGTAGAGGAAAACGACGATAGTAAAGATTAGGAAAGAAAAAGAAGTAGTTCCCTGTTGCAGTTCAGGCACAGTTATGAGCATGACATTGATGAATCAGCCCATTTACAATTCTACTGTGCATAAGAACATGTTAATATCCCCCTTTTGGGAATGACCCAAAGACTTTTCAGTCAGTAGCACTGCCTCGTGGGGGGTTAGCCCATCTTTATGAGTTGACCGAACCAAGAGATGCCCAACTGCCATGCGAGTCTGACTACACACTTATCGGCACAATTGTGGAGCAAGTAAAGGAAGCTTCTACTTTTCAAACAGTGAAGATCACGAGCAGATAACTGTGACAGTGAGCTTCGCGGAGGCAAAACAAAGTGCGGAGAAACTGAGAAATTATTTCGTAGTCGAAGGGGGGGGGGATTTTTTAATGTTCTTGAGAACGTGCAAAAGTTTGTTATGGATGTAGGAGAAAGGGTAAAGCAGCAAACATCCATTTATAACTTCCTTTTTTCCTTGTCTTAGGAAGAAATAAGTTACTGTACATCTAGCATCTGCGTTTGTTGCCAATTTTTGTCCAAAAAGTTTGCACAAAAAGTGGCAAAAGTTGCCATTAGTTTTCAAGCTTTCAATTCTCTGTGACGACATAATATAAAACAATATGTTGATAGAGGTAACAGTCTAAGGCACCGGAATTTCTTGTGCTCTGTTTTAAGCATCCAAAGTATCATTTGTGGTCGCCCAGAGTGTAAAAACGTAAAAAATAAAGGTTTCACAAAAGAATGAAATCAAAACAGCACGGATATAACTAACAACAAAAATTAACAAATTAGGGCACGTGTCCACCTATCTGAAGATAGGCTGTTTTAACCCTAAACGTGTGTAATTCAAGAAAAAGTAGGCCTACAGGATATTAAAATAAATGTAAATTATGGAATCACACACATTCCGGGTGTGCCAGTGTCAGAATTCACTTTTGGTGGACACACGCTCTAACATAACACATTTATATATTATAAAAAGGAGGAACAGCATCAAATTAATGACATTACGCTGTATAAACAAAAAAATCATCAGAACAATTTTTGTTATATTAACACACCAACAAATTAAAACACAACAAAGAGATTACTTATATTCTCCGCTTGAAAATAGATAACCTACACATGGACATCTTAAAACTTATCAAAATACATGTCTAATATATTATGAAGTAGCTTTGTTGTTTTGTCTTTTTTGAAAACTGCAAAAATTGCGGCCGCGATTCACGGATCAAAAAATGCCCAAAAATCGCGGCCGCGACTGCCGCGACAAACGCAGATGCTAGGTACATGTACCATGTATACTATTCCCAATACTATGACCGAAAAGGACTATGTGAGTAAAAATATGTTTGTGTGTGTTGACTGAAATAAAGAAATACTGATACAAAGAACTATTTTTTCGGCCTGGGCTTGTTCTTTATATCAGTGTTTCACAGTATCAAACACACATCCTGAGTGTGCCAGGTGAAACACCTCAGACGTTGGCACAATGCCAGCCTACATGTGAACCCAAGTAACTAAAATTACGAGGAATTAGAAAAAAAACCAAAAACAAGAATGAACTCACCTTGATCTCTTCATTAGTCACCAGTCCAGCGTTAATGATGACCTCCTTGAATTTACCAATGGGGTCACGAGTTTGTCTGACCTCCTGGATCTCTTCACGGGTACGATAGCTGGAGGGAAAGGAATAAGCCAGCTTCATTAGACAACATTTTGACTGGAATTTTTTCTTCTGACTCAATCACTCAATCACACATGAGAGAGACATCATTTAGCGATAAAAGCTACACTTCGGAAGGAGTGGACCAGTGAGAACATGTGAAGGAGAAGACCAATACCATACAAAGGCAACCGGGCGGGGGGGATGCAGTGAATAGTTAGCATCATAAGTATACCATACCAGTTTATGGGGGAGGAAGGATACCGGTAATAATAATAAATAACGAATTACATTTATATAGCGCTCAACCACGAGTAGGCTCTGAGCGCTTTACAATACAACACAATGTACCACAGTAACATAAAACATGTTCTGACTGAAAGAAAATCACTCCAAATATTCATCTTATTAATTAAAAAACAGAAATGACTTCAGCAGACATTTGAAAGAATCAAAAGATTTGATCTCCCATGAAGTACTCGGTAAAACATTCCAGATCTTGGGGCTTTGATATTCAAATGCCCTTTCACCCATTGTTTTAGTTTCATAGATGGTAAACGAAATTTCTTTTTGTCACCTGAAGACCTGAAACTGCGAGTTGGAATGTACAGTGTCAACAGATTTGATAAATAGGATGGTGCATTATCATTCAAGCATTTGTGACATATGGAGGCCAACTTGTACACAATTTTTTTCTCAACAGGAAGCCAATGCAATGTCCGTAAAAGAGGTTTTGCAGAGTCTCAATTTCTTTTCCATAAAACTAAACGTGCAGCATTGTTTTGGACAGTTTGAAGTCTTTCAACTTTCTCCAGTGATAGTGCTCATAACAAGGAGTTACAATAATCGAGTCTTGATAAAACTAAGTTAGTCGAGAAAGAGAAAGAATGTATGTCTAATGTCCATGTACTTAGAATATTTAATTTTGCAGCATTGGAAATAGGCGCTTGGTCCGGCTTCCTGCAACAGGTGCAGGAAACTCAAGTGAGTTAATAAATTTTTTAAAAACATGATGACCTAACACTGACACTACAGAATGGGTTCACATTTGACCTACTTATAATATCAGAAAGGAAACCTTAGAATGAGACAACAAATATGTTCAGAGAGGGTGTTTGTGTATAATTTACCTTGTTCCGGGATCACTCATACTGTGTCCATGGTATCTGTAAGTAGCAGCCTCAATGAGAATGGGCCCGTTCTTGAGCACAAAATCTTTAGCGAAGCGGGTGGCTTCTTTCACAGCCAACACATCCATGCCATCAACCTACGGACACAAGAAAGAATAGGCAGTGGTGAGATTTATGTAAATATTTGAAAAGAATGTAATTATATTTCTCTATTCTTTGGCATGTCATCTAAGCTCATTCCATGAACATCTTTCCTGCCTCTAATCTGTCATCCTTCGCTGTTCTTTGGTATTACTCTCTTTCTTTTTTTATTAGTTTTCAAGTCTGAGCTATTATGAGATGTTGAGACTTGTTTATGCTAAGCAAACCTCCACTGTCTTCTATTAGGTACCAAAAACTATATTTTCAAAGTAGCTGTATGTCCAATGTGTCTTTCCATATGAAAGGCCTACGTCTCTTGAGAATTTTGGTACCATTCTTTTACCTCTAAGTTAATTTTTAAGAAAATGGTAGCTGTTTAAATATGATCAAATATTGCTTAAGTCGCTAACTGGCTGCAACCCCATGTTTGACAGACAATAAAAGAGTACCAAGTGCACCAAACATCTCCACATTAACAGAGTACAATTACTATAACAGAAATGCCTAATTTTTTTCAAGACAGTGAGAACATTACAAAATCAGCATTTTTTTTTTGCCTCAAACACTAAGATCTGTCGTTATTTCGACAAAAACACAGAGCGTTGACCCTATACTGTAATATACTGTAGTGTACTGAGTGCTCCCTGCGTGGGGGGGTCACATGCTTTCCGAGTTTCGCGGAAGGATTGATACAAAATAATTCCAAGCCAATTACTATATTCTAATAGAAAATGAACTGATCTTTCTATTAATACCTTTTTCGAGCCGGTATTTTTACATATTTCGGGTTTTAAAAAAGGACCTTTGAGAACTTTGACGGTATTTTAAAAGGCTTTCTATTTAAAAAGCAAAGGCCAAAAATATATCAAAGTTCTACAGTTCTCTGCCAATAAAAAGATGGTATTTGATTATCAATCTTTCCGCGAAGCATTTGAACACATGCGTGTAAATTTTTTTACGCATTCCGACAGCGAGGGGCTTCGCTTTCCACTGCGATTCTCCACCTCCAAATACTCGGATAAACAACTAACACCACTGCAACGAGGAAAAGCAGAAGTTTTTCAGGGTGTACAGAATTTGGTGTTTTACAGCGAAAGAGCAAAGAAACAGCGATCTGAAGTACCCCGATTTCACCGAAACCAAGCACTCGGAAGGCCGCGAGGCCATATTTACGCTACCTTCTTCTATTCACCTTCTTCTCTTATGGGGTTTATATCATTGAAATCAAAGACTTCCACGTTGGGATCCCTCTCTTCCCACCAGACACCCAGGACATTTCTGAGACATCTGCCTATAAACCCTCTCAGCTTCATCATAATCCCTGCAAAATTGGCATTACTTATATTACATACTGGTAATCTTCTCTAGGACAAACACAGTCACCTTTTTTTTTACAGTGGTTTTTTTTTCCACTGTTTAAAATAGACTCACATATCAAGCCTATTTACATAACTTCCACAAGACTTGCATCCAATTCTTTGTCATTGAATTCTTTTCATCCAGACCTTTTCAAAAGCCATCCTATCAGCTAGAACACAACAGGGTACACAACTTTGACAAGAAATCTTGTTTTCCCAAACGCGCCCCAGATTTAATGAGTGCAAGTTTAACATCAGAAATGTAGAAACATACTTTAAATAAAAAGTCCCTTCTGTCTGGCACCAGCTCGTAGTCTACTTTTGTTCAAAATAGCTCATTGAATAAAGTTAACTCAACGGAAATGAAACATAGACAATAAAACCAAATTGTGAATTCGTCCGCACAGTCATGTCCCCTTACCCACAATCCCGGCACATAGTCTCCTCTTTTGTAGTAGGTCGTGCTGGCTGCAGCTCTCTCGGCAGATGTGCCCATGCCGAAACCGTTGTTCTCACAGACAAAGATGCACGGAAGATCCCACAGCTTGGCCATGTTAAAGGCTTCATAGAGTTGCCCTTGGTTGGCTGCACCATCGCCGTACAGGGCAATACACACATTGTCTTGTTCCTGGTATTTGTGCGCAAAAGCAATTCCTGCACCAAGGGGGACCTGCAGTATATTGAAGAAAAATAACACATTCATTCAATGTTCTATGCTCTCCCACCAAAACAACAAAGATTATTCAAGAGGCAAACTGTTCCATCTCTTTGCTTATCAGTGATTAAAGCCTATTCAGGCGGTGTGGGACATGGCTTCCTTGTCTGAAAATTCATAGTTCTCCCTTCAGGCATACACCTTTTCCAAACTGAACAAAAACTCTGATTTTTCAATAAGACTTACAACTTACCACTAATTATTTAGTCTCAATTATACTTAAGAATGTACAAGCTCAAGTTCTCCTTGTATAATGGAACATCTCACAAAAATTGAAAACTCTAAAATTAAATTAAACGTCCTTACTAGGAACCAGTACCAAACTACAACCTTTCTGCATTGAGAGTCCATCCCCTTCATGTACCACAAGCAAGTTTTCCTTTATCCTGAAAACTTTCCATTTCAAAAAACTGCCTTTTGAGAATGAGCTTCATAACATTATGAGTCCCCTTCAACCAATTTGATAAAGTCATATGAATAAGTCGTTCTTATAGACCTACAACTTTTTACCACCTTCATAATGCTGGCCAGGTACGAAAATCAACAAGGAAGCAAACAAAAATTTCATAAGTTTCCACAAAACCTCTGTAGAATGCACTTTGAAATAACATAGACTTGGCTGCCAATATAAACAAACACTTTTAGAGATCGTAAGTCCTACAATAATGTTCCCTTGCATATCATGATTAACAAGCACCACAGCTTACATCTCAAATGTATGTATTCCAGAGGAAATGTGTCATATTACAAAATCAATGCACTCAAAAACCCATCCAAAATAAAACTCCTTTAACACTCAAAGGCTTCATGTCCTGACACAAGAGTGGAATTAGCTGATCATACCTGAGCTCCAACAATGCCATTTCCTCCAAAGAAATTAGGTGAGTACATGTGCATAGATCCACCTTTGCCATTGGCACACCCAGTCTTGCGACCTGAAAAAAACCCCATATAAACAGAGTACAGAAAAAGCATAAGTAATCCAATTTTAAAGCTTTCTTTAAAAAGAAATCTGTAACCACTGTCCAATATTTTGTACTTCAACATCCAAACTTATTTTTAGTCTTCTCAAGTACATTCTCAAAGAATAGATTTTTTAAACTGAGAAAGTTCTAAGGAGAGGGAAAAATCAAATAGTGTTCGCATTAGTATTAGTGAGGGTGTGTGTCTCTCCCCCCCCCCCCCTCCTCTCTCTCTCTCTCTCTCTCTCTCTCTCTCTCTCTCTCTCTCTCTCTCTCTCTCTCTCTCTCTCTCTCTCTCTCTCTCTCTCTCTCTCTCTCTCTCTCTCTCTCTCTCTCTCTCTCTCTCTCTCTCTCTCTCTCTCTCTCTCTCTCTCTCTCTCTCTCTCTCTATCTCTCTCTCCTTTCTAGAGTGCCCAAAAAAAAACACATACACCATTACTACGTGACCAGGAAAGCATTTTTATCTTTTTTCTTTTTTAGAACGAAAAAAAGGCAGACTGATGCCAGAACAACAGAAAACACAAAGAGAAACAAGAGGGGACAGGAAAGTCAAGAAGCAGCACCCTCCAACCATCCAAGTCTATCTTCGAAAAAAAAAAAAAAAGGTAACTCAATTATAACAGATAAAAATAAAAACAAAACAGGAAATAAAAAGAAATGCAGCCTTCCAGAGATGTCCACCAATTACATCAAACGAACACCATCATGAAACTTGTGTGTGTGCCTGGTGAAAGGAACTGTATGACACATTTTGAGGATGTGCATTTTATTGTACTTTCTGAATAAAAATCAATTCTGAACAACTTGGGGGGGCCTTATCATTAAAAAGTAAGGGTGTTTTATTTCTGAACATTTAATGACCTCTTGGTCAATGGGGGGGTGGTAAAAAAGCTTCAATGGAAGTGGATTGAGTTCTCCAAAAGAATACTGGTACCGATCAATCAGCCAACTATGATGCTAGTCTCCGAAACCCTTGACAACATTTACGACTCAAAGTCCAAATTTAAAAAGCACCGTTTTAGACAATTAAACAGTTTCAAAGTGTTATCAAAACATTTTCAAAGCAAATTCACCATCCAACAAATCTAGAAATTTTGCAGCTTTGCTGATGAAGTGTTTTAGGATACATGAAGGCACAGAGCCTCCCTTCCTTTACTGTGGCAATGTACTCGTGCACACTAAACATCACAAGAAAGGACACAAGCTAACCTAAATTTTATACGCTGTGTGAAGGGTATTTTTTTTCTTCTGGTAAGTGTTTAACGGCGCTCGCAACTGCATAAGGTCATATGAGGGCGCCGGACACATTAAACTTTTTCAGTTAGTAGAAAATTTTGAATTTGCCCAGGTGGCGGCCAAAGCCTACTCTAATCGATTTTAGACCACAAAGGGAACTTTAACGTGCGCAACTTGCACACGGGACCTCCGAGATTTTTCACCCTTTTCCGAGAAGGCTAGGTGTAGATCGTTCCTACCAGAAGATCAGGGGTGTGGCTGAAAGACAGCAGTAAGAAGGAGCCAAAGAGTAGCAGTAGAAAGACTGCAGAAAGAGTCAGAAGCCCAGAGGAGGGGACAAAGGCAGGAAGAGGAGACGAAAGCAGACGACAGAACATTGCTAGAGAGCAGGAAAGGAGGCGAAAGGAGACCATTTTAGAGAAGAAAAATGTTTTGTCGCTACCCGGATTCAAACGCAGGACCATTGAAAGAGAGACCAACACCTTAACCTCTTGGCCACGAGAACCCCCCCCCCCCCCATGTGAAGGGGTTGATTTTTAAAAAGAAAAAGTTGTAGAATTTCACAGCTCCAGAAATGTAACAAGCTGACCTAAATTTTAGTGCGCGGTGTCATGGGGTTTATTTATATATTACTTAGCAGTAGGCTCTGACACAAAATGTTCTCACACAATTTTTGTTTCAGATAATACATGTACATAAGATGACTTGTGTCAAGACACATCTTTAAAAAATACATTTTTAGAGTAAAATAAACACAAAACTTTGTAAAATATTGATAGATAAATGGCTAAAAAATCATTTTTTTAAATGAAAATCAATTTTTGTACAAAATCGAGTTTTGATCTTTATTGCCTGTGTATGGTAACTCAGTTGGAGCAAAAGCATCTTGCGGTACTTTTCTCCAGGTACACACACAATTTTTCTTCCCACACTAGGCTGGGGACAACATTCCAAATTGCAACAGGGAACAACCAATCCCAGTCCCCCTCAGAGTCATTCCGGCTCAACAAGACTGAAGTCTCAGAATATGAGGCATAACTCCAAACCAAAATGATTTTATGTACATTTTTTTTGCAACCACAAAAAAAAAAAAAGAAATTTTAGCCTAGTAGATATCATCATAAGCATGAATGAAGAAGAGATTCATTCTGGATTTTAGCTTTTGCCACATCTGTACTAGTATTTTTGTTTTTTTCTTGGCACACATTGCGATGGGCAAATGGAAGTAGGGCAATATGGAGCTTCAAGGGGGTGTGGCACTGTACATTGCCAAATCTGGATTTATTACTATTGAAAGCAAACAGTGATGACTCACATCTCCAACTGATGCAGCATGGCAGTGAGTCAACAGACAACAGCTCAAAGGTAGGCGTCTTCATAGTAACAATAAATAACAATAGCAAACAACAACCAATCAATCAAAGACTGATTTTTTTTAAAAGCTCTGGGCAGACCTGTCAGTTCTGCCAAGACACCATGAACTGAAATGCCACGGACGTACGTCCAGCCGTGAGCTCTGTAAGCTGTGATGACTGAGTCTTGCGGGGTTATTGCTGCCTCCATTCCTACTGCTACAGCTTCCTGGAATTATCAAAAGCAGAGGTAGGATTTCTTCGACATTTTCTTATTCTGTTTGCAAACCTTAATTTAAAAAGAGCTTTTCTTTTTTCTTTAATTTAATATGTGCATCTGTCAATTATAGGAGGTGAATTTTAGTAAAATTTTGAAGTTGATGACATTTTGTTGTTTTTGCCTCCCCTTATAAAAAAAAATGAGATATTGGCTTCCGGGTCATTTTTAGGCCATATTTTGATCATTTTGAATTAAAAAAACTGAGCTTAATGCATGAACCATTGACTCTTGACTGAAGAAGTTTGGTTTGTGTAGCAACGTTCGTTATATTATTATGTGAGCAGTCTCTGAAAATAGTGTTTTTCATATTTTGCGACGTGTGCAAAAATATACATTCACAATATCCTTAAATACCATCCAATTGCAATAAAATCAATATCAAAATGCTCAGAATGAAAAGTTCCTTTGATCTTTGAACTAATTTTTCACCTAAAACCAATACAAAAGTTTATTGTCGGGTACCTACAATTAGTCAGTGAGATGATCTTCCATTGTTACACATTGGCATAGAGACATTCCGTAACTCAAAATATTTCAAACAAAACCAATGACAATAGAATAGTACGTTCCAACATCTACATAAAATATGCAGCAGCAGACATGCCACATACCTGTCCTGAATAAAGATGGCAAAAGCCCCGTATGATCTTAGACTTGTAGAGGTTTCCCGCTGTGGTCTCCATCACCCGAATCATCCTCATTTGTTTGTAGAACTTGAGGGCCTCTTCGCGGGTGTAAGTAACTTCTGTATTTGGGCCATTCTCCAGAAGATGGAGCTTGTAGGGCTGAGGGGCAGTAGGAAGAGGAACAAAACCCAGAATAAAAAGAACGAACAGTACTAGTGTACGATTTATCCGAATATCCACACAAAACCACCAACTAAAGGGATTACATTAAATACAATTTGGTATGTGATTGGTGGGTGCTCTGGTGTGGTTTGCTCCCTCTTTCCTATCAAACATCTATCGTCCTGATCTCTCCTCCTTCTTTTTAGTGTTTGTTACTCGCTTGTAACACCTCTAATCTTCGGCACTTATATGACCTTATCAATGTTATTGTATTATGTTACAAGTGTTGTAAAACTCTTACTAAAACTAAAATACAATTTGTCAATTAACTATCTTCTTCCTCGCCTATGACCGTAAGTGGAAACTTACAGGACTGTTTTTCCCCTCACTTTTATTCAATTCAAAAGCCTTTTGTGCTCTTAGAAAGGGAGATAATTTTAAACAACGCACCTAGACAAGAATCTCAGTGGGGCGGAAACAGGAAGAGACAGCTGTAACTGCGGTACATGTATTTCTTGCCATATCATCACATTTCCAAGTGGTTGGCACTTATCCAGGTAGCTCAAATTACAATTTTACATTCAGCACAGTTGCAAAGTCTATAACAGCTGAATACAATTGACAGTCTCCTTGGAGAAAGCATTAAATTGACTTGTACAGATGCATGCGTGTATGCATGCACGCATGCATGTGTGTATGCATGCACGCATGCATGCTCATACACAAACACACACACACACACACACACACACACACACACACACTCCTGCCCACAAAAAACTTAAACATTATATCAACCTTAATTTTTCTTTTGTGCCAAAAAAGTACAATTAATTAGGGTGTTGCCACACAAAGAGTTATGATGAGAACACATAGAATCTACAAATGAGAAAGACAAAGCGATTCTTGGAGAGTACAGCTAGTATATTAGAGACATAAAAACAAACACTGAGTAGTGAGAGAGACAGAATAGAGAGTCAGAGAGGGAGAGAGAGAGGGGGCTGACGTAGGGGGGAGAGACGTAGGGGGAGAGAGGGGGAGGAGGAGAGGGAAGGAAAGAGAGAGAGAGAGAGAAAAAGAGAGGGACGAAAAGAGGGAGATGGAGGAAGAGAGAGAGAGCAAAAGAGAGAGAGGGAGATGGAGAGGGAGAGAGATGGAGAGAGGGAGAGAGATGGAGAGGGAGAGAGAGGTGGAGAGAGAGAGAGAGATGGAGAGAGAGAGAGAGAGAGAGAGAGAGAGAGAGAGAGAGAGAGAGAGAGAGAAATGGAGATATATATATATATAGAGAGAGAGAGATGGAGAGAGAGAGATGGAGAGAGAGAGAGATGGAGAGAGAGAGAGAGAGAGATGGAGAGAGAGATGGAGAGAGAGAGAGAGATGGAGAGAGAGAGAAGAGAGAGGGGGAGAGAGAGAGGGAGAGAGAGGGGGAGAGAGAGAGAGAGAGAGAGAGAGAGAGAGAGAGAGAGAGGGGGAGAGAGAGAGTGGGAGAGAGAGGGAGAGAGAGAGAGCACAATTATGTAACGATAACTAAGGCAGATTCCCCTTCACCCAATTACTCACAGCATACATGTGACACTTGACTACTGATCAAATTATTTAAAATTAAACCACAAACTTATAAACTCACCATCACAGTATGAGAGGCCTCCGAAGCTGTGGAGAGGTGAGCTCCTTGAATGACCCCCGTGATCCACTAAAAAAGTGGGAAAAAAAGCGAAACACAAATCCCTAAATCAACATGAAAACAAGAGATCCATCAGCAGCTTTTTCTTCTTTAAAAAATCCACGAATGCCCCTCATGATTATCAGCAGAATCACATCAAAACACAACACCATACTTCCTGCCCACTGGGCAACTTTGAAACTGAAACAGTTAAGCACTACCATCATCTATTTCACATTGAAAACTAAGACTTAGTCTCCTGAGATAAGAAACTATATGTGAGGCATCATGGTAAAATCAAGCGCTCGTCAAAATAATGAAATCGAATTATTTGGGGGGGGGGGGGGGGGGGGCTCAACACCTTTAATGTCCCTAAACCACATTTCTGTGTGAATTTGACTGAAAAACGTTGATTAAAGGCACAAAATAAGTAATTTTTCAGTTTTCAACAACCCTCCAGCTACTGAAGTTACCAAACTTTGGCGGCCATTTTCTCGGTAATTTTACGACTGAAACCAGGTGACCCCACCTTCTTCAACCACAAATATCTTGACTTCTCAAGAGGGATATTTTTTTCACTCTTACTATAAACTCAATCTTTCTGAGAATAAAATAATGAATTTGGAAAGCGAAGCCATGTATTGATTTTGTGCCAAATGACAATTTTGGCTGAAACAACAGTAAAATAAATGATACTTCCTAACTAGTAACTAAATAACTTTTCAAAAAACAGCAAACTTCAAAAGAATTCACAGATAAAAAGCTACATTCATTTAACAAAAAATTGTAAACATTTAAGCTCTAAATCCAAAACGTGCAAGTACAAGATCAACTATGGACAGGTGTCAGGACATCCATGGGTGTAGGGGTAAGAGTGGGAGTGTGAAGAAAATCAAGAAGAGCAGGCCAGCCACCTTGTTGATTCAGAATAGAAGGAGCATAGTCAGTAGGGTAAGTCAATTTGAGATATAATTCTAACAGCTCTGCGGTTGGAATTCCAGTTTGCTTATATAAAAACTCCTTATCTCGCCCTGTCCCTTCTCCAAACCAACCAAGCAGGGGAAAACACGTTAGCACAAGTGGGGGGAGTCTGTTACAGTTAACAATCAAAGTACGTAAACTGTACAATTAGACGATTTCTTGCAAATAACCAAAAAATCTAGAGAACGGAAACCGGTCGGAGAAATAGAGGTCAAGTTTATTTTCCCGAGCGTTCGGAGAAATAATCACTTCGTATAAATTTCCACCAAGTCCAGGTAAGAGATCTTAACTTTACAAAAGGACTGGATCAGTAAATGACTACTAAAAATAACACCCAGAATGTCTACCTTTATCATCATTCATGAGAGGCTAGTTTAATTATTAAATTAATATTGTCACTGTGGTCAGGATATTTTCATGCTAGTTCATACTAACAAAGTTAAGGCAACACGGCTGCTGAACACATGAAGCTACAGCGAGCACCTTGCACACCTTTGTAACTGGCCCAAATATAGATGATGTATTTCCGCCATTTATTTTTTAAATCATCCGGGGCTTCCCTCGGGAGTTGACTAGATCTTACCGTGGCGGGCCCGCTTTGCCGCTTGGACGCGCGATGGGCTACGACACTAGATCTCGTTCATCGCCCACTTCTTGGGCTGTGTGTGTGTGCGTGTGTGTGTGGGCGCTTGTGTGTATGTGTGTGTGCGAGCTTCTGTGTATGTGTGCGTGCAAGTGTGTGCGTGCGTGTATTTGTGTGTTTGTGTGTATGCACACACGCGCTGGAGTGTGAATGTGAGTACAAATTTGAGGAGAAGGTAAATTTGAGGGAAAAAAATTGCTGAGACTGTTCTACCTATAAAAGATAACACAAAATCAATACACAAGAAAAAAAGGCAGGCTCTATTTCTCTGAACGATCGGGACAACAAATTTGAACTATATTTTTCCTGACAGTTTCCGTTCTCGAGATTTGTTGAATGGAGTGGCCCGTGAGCGTGTGTGTGTGTGTGTGTTCTGTGTGTGTGTGTGTGT